TGGTGGGTGTGGTGGGTGTGGTGGGTGTGGGTGTGGTGTGTGTTGCGTGGGTGTGGGTGTTGCGTGGGTGTGGATGTGGTGTGTGTTGCGTGGGTGTGGTGTGTGTGGCGTGGGTGTGGTGTGTGGCGTGTGTGTGTGGGTGTGTGTGGCGTGTGTGGCGTGTGGTGTGTGTGGTATGTGGTATGTGTGTATGGCGGGTGTGGTGTGGGTGTGGTGTGTGTGTGCGCGCGGTGTGTGTGGTGGGTGTGGTGGGTGTGGCGTGGGTGTGGTGGGTGTTTGTGTGTGAGACTTCTGTTTTCTAAAACTTACAAGTTTTAGCTTTTATACTTAGGTATATTATCTGTTTCGAGCATACTCTTGTGTTTGTTGTTAAGTAATGGTTGAAGTTTATTTTTTTTTCATATGAGTGGTCAGTTGTATGAGCACATGTAAGTTTGTTTCTGGATTCTGTTCTTCTGTTGATTTGTATATGTACCTTTACACCAATACCCACTCCCACTGTCTTGATTATTCAAGACTTGAAATCAAGTAGGAGTCCGATTGTTCTTCTTTTTCAAAACTATTGTCTATTCTAAGATCTTTGCATGTCCTTTGTACATTTTAGACTCAGCTTATTTTCTACAAGAGTCTGCTGGGATTTTGATTGGAATTACATTGGTACTATATATCAAATTGGAATGTCTTTTAAAAAAATTTTAAACATTTTTTTGAGAGCGAGCTTGTGTGCCTGAGCGGGGGGAGGGGCAGCGGCAATAGCAGCAGGAGAGGGAGAGAGAATCTTAAGGAAGCTCCACGCCCAGCATGGAGCCTGATGTGGGGCTTGATCTCACAAGCCTGAGATTATGACCTGAGCCAAAATCAAGAGTTGGACACCTAACTGAGCCATCCCGGACCCCCAAATTGAGACATCTTAATATTGAGTCTTCTAAAAAAAATTTCTCACAGCAGTGTTCTGTATTTTTTTTCTTTTTTTAAAGATTTTACTTGAGAGACAGAGTGTGTGTACATGAGTGGGGGGCAGGGGGGAGGGAGAAGCAGACTCCCTGCCAAGCAGGGATCCCGATGCAGGGCTTGATCCCAGGACCCTGGGATCATGACCTGAGCCAAAGGCAGACGTTTAATTGACTGAACCACCTAGGGTCCCTATTTTCTTTAATTTCCTTTGCCTTTCCCCCTTCCCCCTTTTCTCTTAAAGATTTATTTATTTGAGAGAGAGCGAACATGTGTGCGCACTGTGCGCGTCAGGGGAGGGGCAAAGGGAAAGAATCTTCAAGCAGACTCCCTGCTGAGCATGGAGCCCAAGGGGTTTGATCTCACGACCCATGATCCATGAGATCATGACCTGAGCTGAAACCAAGAGTTGGATGCTTAATCGACTGAGCAACCCAGGCACCCCTTTTATTTTCAATACAGGATCGTACACATGTTTTTTTTAAAATGTTCACTCTCTCGCTGTGTCTCTCTCTGTCAAATAAATGAATAAAATCTTTAAAAAAAATAAAATAAAATGTCATTAAGTATTTCATGGTATTTGCTGTCATAAATGGTATTTTTTAAATGTCATTTTCCAGTTGTTTATTGCTAACATGTAGAAGTAGAATTAATTATTGTATATTGATCTTGTATCCTGTGATTTTGCTGATTTTTACATATTAGTGTTTAGGATAATGTAGATAGGATACAATCATGTTGCAAATATGAAATTTTTTTTTTTTTTTTCTTATTCAGTCTCCATGCCTTTTATTTCTCTTTTTCCTTTATTGCACTGGCTAGGATGTTCAGCACAATATTGAGTAGAATTGGTTGACAGTGGGATTTTTGCTGATCTTAGGAGAAAAGTCTCTAGTTTTGGTTGGAGTTGTTTTACAAATGTTCACCATTAGTTTGAGGAAGTTCTCTATTTGTAGTTTGCTGAGAGTTTTTATTCATGAATGGGAGTTGAATTTTTCAAATACTTTTTCCATATCTATTGCAAAGATCATTTTTTATCCTTTAATCTGTTAATGTAAAATACATCGACTCTTTTGAATAGTAAACCAACCTTTCATTCTTGGGATAAACCCCACTTAGTCATTATGTATTTTCCTTTTTATATATTGCTGGATTCTATTTGGTGGTATTTTGTGAAGGATTTTTGTATTTCTTTTTGTGAGAATTACTGGCTTATAGTCTTCTTGACTAGTCTTTGTCTGCTTTTGCTATCAGTGTAATCCTGGCCATATACAGTGGGTTAGGGGATATCCCCACCTCCTCTTTTCTGAAAGAGATTTTCTTTAAATGGTTCATAGAATTCTCCAGTGAAGCTTGGAGCTTTCTTTGTGGGAAGACTTTCATTTAGGAATTTAGTGTATTTAATGAATGTAGGATTATTCAGATGTTATATTTTCTTTGATACCTGTTTTGGTAATTAGCATCTTTTAAGGATTGTCCTTTTAATTTACAGTCTTATCAACTTGATTGGCATAATACACTCTTATTCTTTAATTCTGGAGTCTCTAGTGCTGTTTTCTTTTTTTTTTTTTCCCCCCCTGGTATTGGCAAATTGTGGTTTCTCTCTCACTTTCTTCATTATCTACCCAGAGGTTTGTCAATTTCATTGATTTACCCCCCCAAAAGAATCAACTTTTGCTTGTTCATTTATTATTTTACTGATTTCACCTCTTTGCTTTATTTCTTTTACTTTGGTTTTAATGTATACTTTTTCTAGCTTCTTATGGTAGCTTTATTTTAAGCCTTTTTGTTTACTGTTTATATCTTTTGTCCAGTTTTCTGTTGTGTTCGCATTACTGTTTTTTTTTTTACGTGCTTCTACATAGTGTAACCTTTTTTCCGTTTTTTCCTTTTAAATTTTGACTGGTAATGTTTTACAGACGTTTTCAAGGTATATGTGATAACATTAGTCCTTTCATCTTTTATGTCAATTTTAGAAAATATTCCAGCAAAGCAAGATTTTTTTTTTTTTATTCACTTACATGTTTTGGTAATTGTATGTTTTACTTATTTATTTTAAAGGACTTTATTTTAGAGAGAGCGTGAGCACATGTGTGCAAGTTGGAGGAGGGGCAGAGGGAGAGAATCTTCAAGCAGACTCCTGGCTGAGTGTGGAGCCCATGTTGTGGGGCTTGACCTCCCCACCCATGAGATCATGACCTGAGCTGAAACCAAGAGTCAGACGCTTAACCCATTGAGTCACCCAGGCGCCCTTTGTTTTATTTTTTAAGTCTTTAATTTGTAATTTATTTTTGGTAGGGCATACCATGGGGTGGAGAACTGATGATATTTTTTTCCTAAATTATCCAGTTTTTCTCAACATTCTTCATTGTATAATCTATTTTCTTACCTTAAATGGCATTGTTTTAGTCTTTATTCTTTTTTAGAAATTTCTTAGCTGTTATGGGTATAAACTTGGTACATGAATGAATCATTTTGTAAAGTTTCAAAAAAGAATTAAATTTATTAATTTGGAATCACATCTTTACAGTAATTTTTCCTGTCTAGAAACTGTTCATAACTTTTCAATTTATTATTTAGGTGTTTTTTGTATTCCTAAGTAAAGCTTTATAGTTTTCTTATTAAAGTATTACATATTTTGTTATGTTTACTCTTAGATATTTACTGATATTCTTTCTTTTCTATCATATTTCTAACAGACTATTTGCTAGTACGTTGTTTAAATATTTGGTTTTCCTGAGAGAGTAGTCTTTGGAATAAGATTCTTCAGTGATGGTTTAGTATTCCTGTGCTATTATCTCACAGAAAGTTTAAGTAAAAATAACAGGTGATAGAATAAAGGTTATTGGATTTCAGCATAGGTGCTCTCAGGACTGAGTTTGTTATCCTTATTTTCTTCTAAAAAAATTTTTTTCCCAGATTTTATTTTTAAGTAATCTCTACACCCAACATGGGGCTCAGACTTAAAATCCTGAGCTCAAGAGTCCATGCTCTACTGACTAAGCCAACTGGGCGCCCCAACCTTATTTTCTAATTTTAATCCTCATCTGGAAATTTTTATCTTCTCTTACTTTTTTCTTCTTAAATCTCCACTTCTGGCTCTTTTTTTTAAACCTCCCTACTCTTTTCTTTGTGTTCCGTGTTTATGTCTTCCAGAGTAAGATATTGTTAACATTTCAGGATTATGTGATTTAGGGGACAGTGTCTTCTTCATTGTTGTTCTGTTGTATGGAATGTTACATATGTGTTGAATATGAATATTCCCTTAGGTTAATAATGTAGAATTATAAAATTGGATATTTTGAGCTAATTTATGTGTTTGATGTGATGTTTTCCAATAATGGAGGGTTTGGTGCTCTTAAAATAATTCTATTCATTTGTAAATAATTGTTACAGTTATACAATAGACATTCACAGAAAGAACACTGCGTTTTGTTTGTTATGGGGAGAAGTGATTCCACTAAACGTTAATGATCATTTCGAGAATTCCCTCCCCTCCAATATTGTAGCATTCTCAGCTGTCTTTGTGACAGTATTTATTTTTCCCCTAGCTTCATTGAAGTATAATTTATATGGATTAAAATTCACCTATTTTTTGTGTACAGTTTGGATTTCGTTAGTTTAATACAGTCACGTAACCACCACCACACAATCAAGATACAGAAGATCCACCATTCTGAAAAGTTTCCTTGTGCCCCTTTGTGTATAAGCAGGTGACCTCTGGCCTGGAGCAGCCACCTCAGTACTTTTTTTTTTTTAACTGTTAGTGATTTTTAGTATATTGACAAGATTGTGTAACCTTCACCACAATCTAATTTTAGAACATTTCCATCACCCCAGAAAATAATAGGTGTCTGTTTAAAGTCACTCCCTCTTCCCACCTTTAGCCCTAGCAATCCCCAGTCTACTTTGTGTCTCTGTATATTTACCTTTTCTGGCAAATATAAGCATACAATATGTTTTATTATTCTGTGTCTGGCTTCTTTCATTAGACGTAAACATTATCAACTTTTGAGCATTTTTATGAAATTAAATTTTTTTTAAAACAGGGAATGACTCTACTAATGATGGGGTCAGCAGATGCTCTTCCTGAGGAACCCTCAGCTAAAACTGTCTTTGTAGAAGACATGACAGAAGAACAGTTAGCATCTGCGGTAAGATATACCACGTTTCATATATTTGATTGCTACAGGTACCAAGATGTCTTTCAGAAAGTAGCATCTAAATGTTTTAAAGATTTGGGGCACCTGGGTAGCTTAGTCAGTTAAGTGTCTGACTCTTGATTTCGGCTCAGGTCATGATCTCAGGGTCGTGGGATCAAGCCCTGTGATGGGCTCCACCTCTGAGAGGAGTCTGCTTGAGATTCTCTCCCTCTCCCTTTGCCCCTTCCCTCCGCTCAAGTGCGCACACTCTCTCCCTAAAATAAATAAATCTTTAAAAAAGTAAGTGTTTTGAAGATTTAATCGGCAATATCAAGATGTATGTTTTTGTTTATTTTAAAGATTTTATTTATTTAGAGAGAGCGCATGCGTGAGTTGGGAGGGGACAGAGGGAGAGGGAGAATTTCCAGCAGACTCCACACTGAGTGTGGAGCCTGACCTGAGGCTCCCCAATATGTATGTTTTAGAAGTAAAAGGTTTTATTTTTGAAATTGGCTTTTGAGGAGTCCTTGTCAGTGTAAAATCAGTCAGTGTCTTTAATAAGTATTGGGCAGTGCTAACAGTGCTATTATTTTATGGGAAAAGAGACTTATAGAGGATAAGTAGTTTAAATGCTGGGATGTTAAAAGTCTTAAAACTTTGCTGAAAATACATACAATTTATCTTTAACTGCAACATTGGTTTAGAAAACTGGTCAGCACACACTTGTCAAATGTTATTTTTTTACCATCTAGCATTTTTATAGTATTATTTTCTTTTTTTGAAGTGTTTCTATGTATACTTTGTACCCCATTCTAGTGATAACCCTTCAAAGGCGGGGGGCAAGACTGATTTGATTGATCACTTATTATTTTTGAGAAGGGAATTAAAACACAGAATGTTTCTCAACATAATGCAAGTGAACATTTCTGTTAGGAGTATAAAACATTGTTACTTTTGGGTAAAGTTGGAATAAATTGGTATGAGTTGGTAAATTATACTTCAAAGTGTGAACTTTAGTGATTTTATATGCTATGTCATTTTATAAAAATGTGTTAATCCTTGTCCTTATCAGATGGAATTACCATGTGGATTGACAAACCTTGGCAACACTTGTTACATGAATGCTACAGTTCAGTGTATTCGTTCTGTGCCTGAACTCAAAGATGCCCTTAAAAGGTAAGACAGGAGATAAATGTTGTGAGTCCTTTTGGTGGGTAAGGGAGGCTCACATTTGGATGAATAGTGTTTTGTGTATAAATGTGTATATAATTTTTTAGCAGCTTTACTGAGATACTCATTTATTGTACAATTCATCCATTTAAAGTATTCAGTTAAATGGTCTTTATTCAAAAGGTTGTACAACCGTCACCACAGTCTAATTTTAGGTTCTTTTCTTACCCTCTGAAAGAAACCTTATGTTCATAAGCAGTCACTCATTTTACCCTTCCCACCTCCAGCTCTAGGCAACCAATTTTAGTATATGTGCTGCTGAAGCGAGCAACCATTTATCTACTTTCTGTCTTAGAGATTTGCGTATTCTGGACATTTCATATAAATGGAATCATACAGTGGGTGACTTTGTGACTGGTTTCTTTTACTTAGCATAATATTTTCTGGGTATAGTCATGTTGTAGTATGTATCAGTACTTCTTTCCTTTTTATGTCTGAATAATATTCCAGTGTTAATGGACATACTACATTTTGTTAATCTGTTCATCTGTTGATAAACATTTGATTTGTTTCCATTTTGTAGCTCCTTTGAGTAACGTTACTGTGAACATTCAAGGACAAGTTTTTGTGCAGACCAGTTGTTTCATTTCTTTCCGTTATGAGTGGCTTGCTTGGCCATATAGTAACTATGTTAAACAGCATTTTGAGGAGCTGCCAAACTGCTAGGCACCATTTTCTGTTCTCACCACCATTGTAAGGGAGTTCTAATTTCTCCACCTCCATGCCAATATTGTTATTGTATGTCTTTGATTATAGTCATCCTAAGGGTAAAATGGTCTCTCATTGTAGTTGTCATTTGCATTTACATAATGACTAGTGATGTTGAGCATCCTTTCATGTGCTTACTGGCTTGTATATCTTCTTTGGAAAAATGTTTAAATCATTTGCCTGTGTTTTAAATGGTTCCTCTTTTTTATTATTCAGTTATAAGTGTTCTTTATATATTCTGGATACAAGTCCTTTTTCAGATAGATAATTCATAAATATTTTCTTTCATTTTGTGAGTTGCCTTCACTTGATGTTGTTTTGTAACAAAAAAGTTTTTATTTTTTGATTAGTTTAATTTTTCTCGTGTGTGTGTGTGTGTGTGTATTTTATGTATAACACCATTACCTAATCCTAGGTCATAAATATTTACTCCTATTTTTTTAAGAGCTATATAGTTTTAGCTCTTAAATTTAGGTCTCTGATCCATTTTTATTCTGATCCATTTTCAGTTAATTTTTATGTATAGTGGGGAGTTGATATCCCGTCCTATTCTTTTGCAAATAGCTATCCAGTTTTTTGAGTACCATTTGTTGAAGACTACTCTTTTCCCTGTGGAATTGCCCTAGCACATTCATTGAAATTCATTTGACCATATGATGTATGTAATAAGATTTATTTCTGGACTCTTAATTCTAGTTTGGAAATAAATACATTGATTTGTATTGATTTGTCCTAATGCTAGTGAGTAATGGTTTTACAAAGAAGTAAAACTTTTATACCATTATACAAAAGAAAAAAGAATAAATATCCATGTTTTGATAGCCTATGAAATGGTCTATAAATGAGAATCCCTTCTCCTCAGTGAGTATAAATATGTAACTTAAAATATATAACTTAAGTCTGACTAAATTTATCACAACTGTCTTGGTATATACATTGCCACTTCTTAACGTAGGGTAGAATTATAAACTGCAATTTGGATTCTTAGCCAGCTTTATGAATGTTGATTTTTTTTTTTTTTCCTTAGTGGCTTGGGAAAAGCTTTGATAGAACTGAGCAGTAGAGAGGAGAAAGGATTTTGCAGAAACCTGAGAGTAACTGAAAGTTTTCTAAATTTCTCTGAAATGAATACTTGTCAGTTGCCTAGATTGTAGCTGATGTAATTAGTGTACAAGACACAGGACCTGTCTTCCAGGCACTTGGTCTTAATTGAATTGAGAAAGGCTGTCAAGTTTGGTACTGTTTCAGAACTGCTTTGATGGGAAATGTTAAAGTCAAAGTGACTTCCTCAGAGGTTTATAGTTACTTCCCCACTATTTTCGTGTGCCCATAGTTACTGATGAGAGATCTAATATCAGTTTCATTTCTTACTCTTTTCTTTTAATAACTTTTAGGATTTTTTTCTTTATTTTTGTTTTTCAGTTTTCCAACAGGTTAAGTGTGGGGTTTTCTTTCATTTATCTTATTTAGTGCTGAGTGAGCACTTTTTTTCTTTTCTTTTTTTTTTTTTAAAGATTTTATTTATTTATTCATGAGAGACAGAGAGAGAGAGAGAGAGGCAGAGGGAGAAGCAGGCTCCCAAGGAGCAGGGAGCCCGATGTGGGACTCGATCCCAGGACCCTGGGATCATGACCTGAGCCGAAGGCAGACGCTTAACCATCTGAGCCACCCAGGCGCCCTCTTTTCTTTTTTTTTTTAAGATTTTATTTTTTGAGAGAGAGAGAGAGCGCATGAGTGGGGGAGAGGGGCAGAAGGAGAAGCAGACTCCCCACTGAGCAGGGAGCCCAATGTGGGGCTCTGTCCCAGGACCCTGGGATCATAACCTGAGCCGAAGGCAGACGCTTAACGGACTGAGCCACCCAGGTGTCCTGAAGGAGCACTTTGATTCTAAGGACTCTTGTCCTAAACTGTGGACATTCTTGACTTATTTCTTGAGAAAATGCTTCTCTATTTTATATAACTTCCGTAATATTCTGAATAATAGAATTTCTGGATCTATTTTTCATGTTTCTTTTTTTTCTTTGCACTTTTTAAAAATTTTTATGTGCTGTGTTCCAGGAGAGTGCCTCAGTTCTGTTTTACATTTCACTGATTTGTGCATTAGCTTTGTTTCACAGCTGCTTATTTATCACAGCCTTCCTTTCTCTAATCTCCTGTTCTTAATTTTGGATGATTCCTGCTTTTATTTCTCCGAGGCTCTGACTACTCTTATTTAAACACTCTCCCCTGCCCCCCCCCCCCCACCAATTTGGTCCTTTCAGTTTTAACTCGGTTCTCTTTAGATGTAAGGATTGATCTCTCATTTGTTTGAAGATTGTGTACTTAGATAACCACTTTCTCTTATGTCCCAATTGCAAATGATCTAATGAGCAGCTTGCTGGGCAGCTCCCTGCCCTAGAAGGTAGCTACTGGCACAGACTTGTCTTTCTTCCAAGAATTCCTCTGTACTTTTTTCATCTGGGATACCTTCTAGCTTCTATTCCAAAGAGAACTCTTTCATGTTTTGGAGTTATTTCTCTGAGTTTTGTATAAGGAGGGGAGATTTCATCCTGTTGATTGAGTTTTCTTGAAACCAGATGAAGTATTTTTTGAATGCTAAGTTTTTATAAGAGGTTGGAAACCCTTGTACTAAACTAACTTAATACAAGAGGACATGGATGGGCTGTATGTCTTTGGAAAAATGGCATTAACTGATAAAATAGGAATGAAAGAAGAAAATTTCCATGGAAGGTGTTTTACAGCTGGTGATACTGAAGCTCATCCTTAAATACTTAAGGATTTTTATTTGGCAGGTTCTGGAGAGTGAGATGTATTTTATAAAGGCTAGAAGGAAAGTAGATTGGGTTAGCTGAAGAGGTAATGAGGGCCAAGAACCAGAGCTGCAGGTAAAATCTGGTTTGCTTATGCTGCCCAATAGTGGAACCTCATGATAATGTAGGAGTTCTGAATTTAGAACTTAAAGTGTATATAATAAAAATTACCCTTAAATTCTATGAATTACTTACAAAAGACAGCATCTCATGGCCATATTCTTATCTTACTGGAGATTGGCAATGCACCTCTTGGTAAGTACCACATAGTTTTTCATTAGCAATTACTAGATTGCTATTCTACTTGCATTTTCAAATTTGTATAGGAATGATCTGTTCTTGATAGAACTTCACTATAAAATTGGTTGGACCCAGCCTTTTTTTTTTGCATTTTAAAGGTACATTTTCTGTGTCTTTTAGAGTTAGTTTTTAAAATTTGTCTTCCTATGAATTTGTCCTTATGTCTTTAAGATATTTTAGCATAAGAGTTCTCTATTTTGGACCTGTATTTTCCCCCATTTTCATTTCTTATTTGCTATATATATAGAAATTTATATATATAAATTTCCCCTTGATTATCTTGTCAGAGGTTTGTATATTTTATTTTTCACAGAAATCAGCTTTTAGATTTATTCAGTCACTTCTTTTCATTGTCTGATTCATCCTACTTTTGTATTGATTTGTTTGTTTTCCTTAGGCTGCTTTATTTTCTTAAGTTTTATTTTCTTAAGTTGTATGCTCAGGTCATTTATTTGTTCTTGTGTATTAATGAAAGTACTTAAGTAGTTTTGAGTTTTTGCCTCTATTCCCTATTCATTAGATAAGGCTGTTCAGGTTTTGTTTTTTTTTTTTAAACACTATAAAATCTCTTCCTTTGACCCCAAATTTGTTTTTAATTATTGACATACAGGCATTAACATACAGAAAAGTGTACGAACGAATTATCCCAGAGTGAACACATCTGTGTAACCAACACAAACAGAACCGTATCAGCTTCTAAAAATCCCCTCACGACTCTCCCTTCCTGATCGCTACTCCACCTTTCTGTTCAAAATTGTTAATACTAGTGTGACTTTTAACCTCATAGATTAATTTTGCCTATTGGAACTCTTCATGAGCAGAAACCTAGATTGTGTTCGTTTGGGTCTAGTTCATTCATGTTCATGCTACATAGTGTTCCACTGTACACTGTACTACCAAATAATTACCCATTTTTCTGTTGATGAATGTTTGTGTTGAGCTGATGTATGATTGATGTGAGTATTTCACAGATGATAGAAAAGTCAAGGCATACTCTTTTTGTAGGTGATAACGTATTAATAGATATTAAGTTGATGAATTATATTCAGATTTTCTATATCATTACTTAATTTTTACATATTATTGACTTGATAAAGACTAGAAAAAATACTCTTTTTTGGGGGGGGTTCTGTAAATCCTCTCAGTATTTCTGTTATATTTCTCAGTACTCTTGTCAATTCCTCCTTTCTAACAGTTTTTCTTTGTAAAGTTAAGTTGTTAATGTTACTTGGTTTATTGGATGGTTTTATCTTACTTAGGAATTAAATGTTGTAACGAGAGTTTTTTTGGGGGGGATGGTATTAAATCACTCATGGTTTTCCATTCTCAGTTATTAAAAAAAGATAATTCATTAGTGTAGCCTTTGCCATAAATGCAGGAATAGTTACTTAGCAATGTCACCCTGTAACTAGAAGGAGAATCAGTAACAGCAGCAGTGTGTCATTACATACTTCACTGATCTTTTGGGATACACTTGCTTTATTAGTGCTTTATTTCAACTTCAGAAATGCCTTTTAGGTAGGTGTAAACTGAGTGGGAAACTCTTATGATTTTCACTTTTTAAAATGAACATATGTAATTTAGACATTATTATGAATTGTATATTGAAAAATTAAAAAAAAAACTTGAGTCATAGCAATTTCCAAAAGATCTAAATAAATGAAAAAGAAAAACAGGACTTCTTAATTGGATATAATTTAACATATTTTCTGACCTCTTTCATTCTACTTATTTAGTGCAGAGGTTTTTTTGTTTTTGAAATCGAAATATTTACATATAGTAAATATCAAATATCTTGTGTTTGGTGTGATCAGTTTTGATAAATGCAAATTCTCTGTTACCCATTTTACAAACTGTAGAACATTTCCCTCACCCCAGGATGTTTTTGTACTTGTACCTTTTCCCAGTCCTCGTCTCCTCCACCACCCAACTCTGCAAGCAGCTACTGATCCCTTAATAGTTTTGTGCATTCTGGAAGTTAAGTGTACAGAATGTAATTTATTTTTGGTTTGGCTTAGTTCACTCAGCATGGTCTTTGAAGTTTACCCATGTTATTGATGGTATGGATAGTCTGGTTGCTTCACATTCTTGCCAGTCTTGGTTGATTTCAGTCTCTTTCGTTTTAGTCCCTCCAGTGGGTGTTTTAATCATAGTGAATAGGCAATCATTCCTCTACCTCTCAATGTTTGATATTACCTGAATGATAATTTCCGATCCTATGTCATAAGACATTGTATGAGTGAATACTATCGTTTATTTCCTTTGGATGGCCAGTCCTTTGTGCTGTTGTAAATTAAATGAGAATTATAAATTGAAAGTGAATTTAGAAGTATTTAATAGAAACACTGCAGTATATAGGTAGCAGATGGACTTGAAAATTAACTGCCTTATTTAACGTTACATAGCAAGTTAATGCTGAATGTAGGTGTATTGACTTTGATTTAATGTTTTTGACCTAAAGCTTTTTTTTATTTCTGAAAGTGTATTTTATTTGTAATAATGGACATTAAGAGTGTACTTTTTTGTTTCACACTGTTTTCAGGAAATTTTTTTTTTTTTAAATAAGTTAGGAGAAAATTTAAAACAGGCTTCATTCATCTAAATTCCCTTTTTTTCTTAGTGTTCCTTTTTTACCCATGTCATGCTTAAGGGAATAAGACCAGAAGAGAAGAAAATAGAAAGATGGGAACAACTGTGATAAAGTTGCAGTTGAGGGTGTCATCATAAGCTCTTTTAATTAGTTTCTTCCCTTTTGAGTTTCAGAATGAATTAAATCCTATTTAATTCTGCCTTAATGTTCCCAGGTATGCAGGTGCCTTGAGAGCTTCAGGGGAAATGGCTTCAGCACAGTATATTACTGCAGGTCAGTATCTTAAATATACTCCTTTTTTTGACAGGACAGTGTAGTATTCAATAAATGTTATTTTTCACTCACTGTTTGGTAGCTTTCTGTTTACAGAATGTGTTTTATAAAACATCATTTCATTAAAATTGGAGTATTTATACTTAAGCAACTTAAGGACTTAAATTATAAACCAATGATGTCTGTCTTTTCTGAAAAACAGTCTGGATATTTTTGGATTAAAGTTAATTTTGGCTTTAGGTTCTGTTAGTAAAATACATCTCTGGGGACATCCAGAGATAGGTTTTATTGTAGTTGATGCAATCATTATAAGAGAGAGGCTTAGTGAGTGTTAGTGTAAGGAAATCATGAATGAGGTATTAGGAGAAACTGAAATTCTTAAAGGCTAGAAATAACTTACTTCTTCATTACATGGGACCATGTATTCTGTCCCCATTTGTTTTGGGCTAGTTTTACAAATGAATACTCTTCAGGGTTAGGTCGATAGGGTATTTTTATAGGCATGCCATTTTTGGGGCAGGGGGTGGTAACAGTTTTATTGAGATACAATTCACAGCCCATATAATTTACCCACTTAAAGTGTACAATTCATTGTCTTTTAGTATATGCAGAGCTATGCAGCCATCACCACAGTCAATTTTAGAAAGTTTTCATCAACTTGAAAAAGAAACTGTAACATTTAGCACTCATCCTGTTTTCTCCTCACCACTCCCAGCCCTATGCAATCACTAATCTACTGTCAGTCTCCATATATTTGCCTATTCTAGACTTTTGACATAAATGGAATTATACAGTATGTGGTCTTTTTTGACTGGCTTCTTTCACTTAGAATGTTTTCAAGGTTCATTCACATTGTAGTATGTATTAGTACTTTATTCCTTTTTATTGCTGAATGAGATTCTGTTGTGGATATATCACATTCCATTTGTCCTTTCATCCCTGATAGACATTTGGGTGGTTTCCACTTTCTGACCATTACAAGTATTGCTGAAAACTTGTGCAAGCATTTCTGTGGACATAATGTTTTTATTTCTCTTGGGTATGTATCTAGGAGTGGAATTGCTGGGTCATATGGTAACTATATTTAACCTTTTGAGGAACTGCCAGACTATTTTCCAAAGCAGTTGGCATCATTTTATATTTCTCCCATGAATGAGGGTTCCAATTTCTCTTGATAATACTCGGTATTGTCTGTCTTTGATTATAGCCAGCCTAGGGGTGTGAAGTGGTATCTCATTGTGGTCAGCTGTTAATTTGTAATGCTATATAAACAGTAGGTTTCTCTGTGTCATTTGGAGTTAGAGATTTTCCTTTGACCTTTGTTTCCTGAAAGTAGATTTATTTGTTGAAATGAAGTTTTTAATGAGAAAAATGATCACTTATATCTAGTTTACTTGATTGCTTGTGTATCTGAGAGTAACTCAGAATTTCAGCAATTCTTCAGTATCCTATGAGTCTTGTAGTGAAGGGATAAAAGATACTGTTCTTCATTTTTAAATTTTAGTTTGTGCTAAATTATAAGAACAGTTCCAAGAATCCACCAATTATTAACTTTTTGTCACATCTGGCTCATCATTCTCTATAACCATGTTCTTTTTTTTCTGAACCATTTGAGAGTAAGGTACAGACATCCTGTCTCATTCCTAAATACTTCAGTATGTATTTCCCAAGTATAAGTACATTCATAACCACAAGAAAATTACCATTTTTCAAAATCTAGGAGTTTAACATGGATAAAGTATTTTAAAATACAAACTACTTAAATTTTGGCAGTTGACCCAATATTGCCCATTATAAAGTTGTTTTTCTTTTTTGCTTTGGGAGCCAGTTTAGGATCACATATTGATTGCATGTTGTCATGTCCTACTAGTCTCTTTTAATATACAGTGAGTGCATTTTTGACTTTATTTCAAACTAAAGAAATACTTTGAGATGCTCTGTTTATGGGATATGTTAAATCTTAAATCATTTATTTTGAGTAATGTGTACCTTAAAGTGTTAATTACAATTTAGCCTTTTTTATTTTAAGAAACATTAGATTGGTAGTGATAACGTGATTTTTAGCTGTCCCTCCCCCCCAATTTTTTTTTAAAGATTTTTTTATTTGTCAGAGAGCACACATGCACACAAGCAGCGGGAGCTGCAGAGGGAGAAGGAGAAGCAGGCTCTCCATTGAGCAGGGAGCCTGATGCGGGGCTCGATCCCAGGACGCTGGGATCATGACCTGAGCCAAAGGCAGACACTTAATGACTGAGCCACACAGGCGCCCCCCCCAAAAATATTTTTAAACACCATGTTTAGTTGTCTTATTTGGGAACATTTTATTAAACACTGGCTTTGTGCTGAGATATAATATTTGCTGGACTTCGGTTTGAATAATAATGGTAGATAACATTTCACATATTAGTTAACAAAATAAGTTAAGATAGGCTAGACTAGAATTTTGCCGTACATGAAGTAAGGGCAAGGTGTGATAGCTAGGAAGTCAGCAGAGGAAAAGTATTCTGAACTCCCAGGGCAGGGCTGAGTCTATGACCATGAGATTTATGAAGATGAGAGAGGATAGTGGAGGAAAGATTTTGAAGAAGGTTTTTAGCTATCACTAGAGTCAGGAAGTATGTTTAACAGATTTTAAAATTTAGGAGTTGAGTAGATGGGAACCAAGTACAGGCTTAAAGGGAGGTGGGTTGAGAGTGGTGACCTGATGGCCTGATAATGGCATAGTACCAGAGCAGTAACATTAGCCTGTTTGATCCCTAGACAGAGGTTATGTGTTCTCTCTGGTGAATGAATATGCCCTGCTTTGGGAGACAAAGGCTGGCAAGGAGAGAAAGACTGAGGGGCAGGACTCAGAAGTTGTTCATAGGTAGTGATTACATTATAAAGTCTGGTCAGTTCTTCAAGATTTAAAAACAAATCTTTTTCTTACTGGGAATTTGACAGCTACGAAAGGAGTAGATATGCTTAAAAATATTCCTCAGCAGTTTTTGTTTGTATTAATCTAGAATTAATTTACAGTAACATGTATTAAATATGTCACTCTTTTATTAAAGCAGTGTTTGCTTTGTTTTTAAGCCCTTAGAGATTTGTTTGATTCCATGGATAAAACTTCTTCTAGTATTCCACCTATTATTCTACTGCAGTTTTTGCACATGGCTTTTCCACAGTTTGCAGAGAAAGGTGAACAAGGACAATATCTTCAACAGGTAAACAGGGCAAGGTTCTATGGTTTTCATTTTGTAAATGTAAAACTTAGGTGCTGTACACTAACCATGTTTATTTGTATTTCCAAACATACTCCCAATTATCAGTCCTTTCTAGTTGACAACATCATTGTTTCTGGTCCAGAGTGGTCTGTTAACTATTACCTTGCTTCTGTTTTTGTCCTTCTGCAGTGTTTCTCCACACAGCCTCCCGAGTCCTTTATAAAATGTAAATAGGATTATGTTGGTCCCTTGTTCGTTACCTCCTAGTGATTTTCTATCCCCGTCCTGAGTAATCTAGCTCCTGGCTCCCTATCTGAGCTCCTCATGTGTCACTCTCCCCCTTGCTTACTTCTTTGGTTCTCAAACACACTGGCTTCCTGGTTATTTTTTAAACCCTCCAGTATCCACTTTCGCAGGATCTTTGCTCTTATTTCTTTGGCTCTCAGATAAGTGTATGGCTTGCTTCCTCACCTCGTTCAGGTCTCATAGCTCAAATGTCAAGGCATCACAGAAGTTTTCTTGACTATCCTATTGAAATAGCACACTTCTTTCCCCTCATCACTTTCTGCTCCCATATTGCTTTTTTTTATTCATAACTCTTCTCTTTAGATGAATTTGTTATATTTTGTTTATGTCCCCATTGAGAACTTCTTCTGTTTTGGTTACTGCTGTTTATTCCTGTGTCTAAAAAAGAGGATAGCAGGAAGGGAAGAATGAAGGGGGGGAATTGGACGGGGAGACAAACCATGAGAGACTGTGGACTCTGAGAAACAAACTGAGGGTTCTAGAGGGGAGGGCGGTGGGGGGATGGGTTAGCCTGGTGATGGGTATTAAAGAGGGCACGTACTGCATGGAGCACTGGGTGTTATACGCAAACAATGAATCATGGAACACCACATCAAAAACTAATGATGTAATGTATGGTGATTAACATAACATAATAAAAAAAATAAACAGTGGTTAGCTTAAGGAGGAACTCAGTAAACATCTCTTGAATGAATGAGTATTCTGGAATCCTCATTGTTTTGAAGATCCTATAATATCTAATTTGACTTAATATTTTTAAATTAAAAAAAACAAAACAAACCAGCTTTCTTCCCCTGCCCTAAGGAAGCAGCAATTCTTTTGGAATGATTTTGTAGATAAAACAGTATCAACAGCCAGGATTATTTACTTTGTCATTTTTAAATTACAGGATGCTAATGAATGTTGGATACAAATGATGCGCGTATTGCAACAGAAATTGGAAGCCATAGAGGATGATTCTGTTAAAGAGGTAATTGACACATGTGTGTGATTATAGATTTTTATTATACCTTTATAAGTATACCCCGCGGCCCCAAAAACTTGAAATAAATTCATCCTAATAGACATGCACTTGAATACTTCAGATGCTCAATCTATAGTTGGAATTTGAAAGCTTGCATCTGATACTTGAATTCATTGTATTATTTATTAAGCTTAATTGATATTATTGAGCATCTGTAGTCTTTTGGTAATGTTTTTTGAACAGTAGAAGGATTTTACAGAAAGGGATTACATTTTAAAAAGCTTAAATATGTATTTACTAAACTGGATTGTGTGAGGAAAAATCTATATTAGTACCTATATGAAGTAAAATTGGAATTTTTATTTCATTTTAATTTTTGCAGACAGATTCTTCATCTGCATCAGCAGTGACACCTTCTAAAAAGAAAAGTTTAATTGATCAGTTCTTCGGAGTTGAGTTTGAAACTACGTATCCTTATGAGCCAAGATTTGTAGAGACTACTCATAACTTACTAGAAGTGAATTGGTATCAGTAGCATTGTTGACTGATTGGAGTGGTGGGTGGGGTATGTAGAAAAAATCTTCAGAGGCATTTATGCCTAAAAGATAAAATGAAACTTGGGAATTTGTAAAAATACCCCATCAGAGTAATCCTAAAGTTCAGGTAAATGTACACTTTAAGGGTATTATTTTTTCCTAAGAATATCTTTAGCAGAGTCAGCCTCATTAATTCACTTCATAGGGAATTAATTTTTAATTGTATGAAACAGTATATCAGCCAGATTATATACATGAGATTGAACCAATTCATAAAACGTGAATTCAGAGGAGGACTATTTTCTAGGTCATGGGTAGAAACTGAAAGATTTCTGTTTATGTATCTTTGTGTTACAACCATTTTAAGACTGTGTAAATACCAACTTATATTTGTTAAGAGTTTGTCCTTTTATTATTCATTACTCATATTGTTGGTAAGTGCATGAAGCACTTTAAAGTATGTTGAAACAAATGTGGGAAACCAAAATATTTAAAATACCAATGAACGATGCTATTAATTTTATTAATTCCAGTATAGTTAATATACAGTGTTATATTAATTTCAGATATACAATATAATGATTCAACAGTTCCATACATTACTCAGTGCTCATCACAGTCAGTGTACTCTTAATCCCCATCACCTATTTCACTCATCCCCCACCCACCTCCTTCATTCTTGTTGAGAATGGAATCATATGGTATTTGTCTTTCTGACTTATTTCACTTAGCATTATATACCTTGGATCCATCCATGTTGTTGTAAATAGCAAGATTTCATTCTTTTTTATGGCTGAATAATATTCCATTGTATATACCCCCCCCATGTGATCTTTATCCATTCATCTATCGATGGACACTTGGGTTGCTTCCATAATTTGGCTATTGTAAATGCTGTAATAAACATAGGGGTGCATATGTCTTTTCATGTTAGTGTTTTTGTATTCTTTGGGTAAATACCTAGTAGTGGAATTACTGGATCATATGGTAGTTCTATTTTTAATTTTTCGAGGGGGTTCTATTTTTAATTTTTTGAGGAAAATCCATACTGTTTTCCAGAGTGCCTGCACCAGTTTGCATTCCCACCCACAGTGCATGAGGGTTCCTTTTTCTCCTATATCCTCACCAACACTTGATTTTTTTTTTTTTTTAAAGAGGGAGAGAGAGGTTGGGGTGGGGAGAGGGAGAAGGAGAATCTTAAGTAGGCTCCATGTCCAGTGGCGGAGCCTGACATGGGGCCAATCTCACAACTCCAAGATCATGACCTGAGCTGAAATCAAGAGTCAGATGTTTAACCAACTAAGCCACCCAGGGGCCCTAACGCTTGTTTTTTGTGTTTTTGATTTTAGTCATTCTGACAGGTGTGAGGTGACATTGTGGGTTTTTTTTTTTTCTAAATTTTTTTTCCTTTATTTTCTAAAGATTTTATTTATTTGAGAGAGAGAATGAGAGACAGAGAGCATGAGAGAGAGGAGGGTCAGAGGGAGAAGCAGACTCCCTGCCGAGCAGGGAGCCCAATGCGGGACTCGATCCTGGGAGTCCAGGATCATGACCTGAGCCGAAGGCAGTCGCTCAACCAACTGAGCCACCCAGGCGCCTGACACTGTGGCTTTGATTTGCATTTCCTTGATGATGAGTGACGTTGAGCATCTGTTCAAGTGTTGGTCATCTATATGTCTTTGGAGAAATGTCTGTTCTCTTTGTCTTCTGCCCATTTTTTAATTATTATTATTTTGGTGTCATATAAGTTCTTTATATATTTTGGATACTAACCCTTTATCAGATATCATTTGCAAATACTGATGCTATTAATCTTAATACCATTAGGATAATTTATTTTATTCAACATATTTATTATAGCAGATTGATTACCTGTTGGTATATTCCTTATCTTATTTCTCAAAGCATGAAATGCACAGAATCTGAAGAAGAAGAGGTCACTAAAGGAAAGGAAAATCAGCTTCAACTTAGCTGTTTTATCAATCAAGAAGTCAAGTATCTTTTTACAGGACTTAAATTGGTAAGATCAATTACAGTTGATCCTCATTATAAATTCTGTATTTGCAGGTGCATCTACTTGCTAAAATTTATTTGTAACTGTAACAACAGTACTTGGTGCTTTCATGGTCATTTGTAGACATGTTCCGAGTGGCAAAAATTTTGAGTTGCTAGACACAGTCTCACTGGAGGTCCAAAAAAGTGATGCTCTGCCTTCTTGTTTCAGCTCATACTGTTAACAAGTGTCCTTTTACTGTAATTTTAGTACCACAACTTTCTGCAATTTTGTGCTTTTTGTTGATTTGCTGTTTAAAATGGCCTTCAGGCATAGTGCTGAAGTGCTATCTAGTGTTCTAAGCCTGAGAAGGCTGTGTGTGAATGTTTATTAGATAAGCCTTAAGGAGAAAATCATGTTTGATAGATAAGCTTCATATAGGGATGGGTTATAGTATAGTTGGCTGTGAAGACAATGAGTTGTCATTAAATAGAAACATACATGACACAAGGTTGTGTATTGATAGGTTGACAGAAGTGTTGTGACCAGAGGCTTGCAGGAGGCCTCTGAGGGTATTATAGTGAGAATTTATTAGTAATAATGAGGTATAAACTGGGATTGTACTGTGTAAATCAGGCCACATAGGCCCTCTGCCTTTGCACAGTATTGCACCTGAGGTCCTGGAATGTAAGTGACTTCATTGCTTTGTCGCAGACCTGGGTCTAGAACTTGATTCTCTCATTCGCCAGTTAGTACTCTTTCCCCATTTTCATACTACAGAATGCACTCTCATAAGCAGATTGATAAAATACAACAGTTTTGCTTGCTAATTTAGTACTTTGATATGGTTTGGGAAATACGTACATGTTTTGAAGGATAGGCAATGAATTGGGGCAGGGAGTGCATTGATAAACAAGATAATTTGTCATCAGGGAGTTCCCATCTACAGTTTGGGGTAAGATCAGTTAGGGGAGTGGTTGGTAAATACAGACATAAGAGGCAAAGGGAGAAAGTAATATTCTCTGTCCTGTGATACTGGGCGGGGCGGGGAGTGTAGTGAGGCATACTGGCTTTTAAGAGAAGTTCATTTTAAAAGCTTAAAAATAATGGCTAACCACTAAGAGTCCTATAACAAATTATGACGTGCAAGTTTCAGGACATCAGAACATGAAGCATAAATGTAATTGGAGAGTATTGAATGGAATGTTTTGGCAGGGACTCTTCAGGATGATATTTTTTCTTCATAATTTTATAAAATTCCAGAAAAGCTAAATGTACTTGGAGCTTCTAGGTGATAGTGGATTGGTGATAATATGTATAGCTTACCTGATGAATAACATCACACCAGATACATGTTCTTGAGAAGCATGTATTTATGAGATGTATTGTCTTGCCCATTGTTTAGATGCTTTATCATCATTTGTTCTGATTATTCTAGAGTAATTTGGCTCCATATTTCTTTACCTTTTTGCTGTTGAACAAACTTGATTAAATGTTAAAAAGCTACACGGTGATTCCTTTTGTAATGAGATTAGTAATTTCTGAAAACTAAAAAAAAAATTTTTACACAAGTAACATGCTTATAGTGAACATTAACAGTAAATTTTTTACTGTAATTTCTTGTGTATTAATGTTCTTACAAAGCAGAGCACATTAGTAGTGCTTTTTTTAATATTAGAAATAGTAGCTTATGTTCATTAAATGTAGAATATATGCCAAATGGTTGTCCATGTTTTTTTTACAGGTACTAACTTATGTAGTTCTAACAACAGCACTATGTTATATAGATATTATCATCATTTCCATATGATGCCCAGAGGGGATAACTGTCTTGTTCAGTGTCACATAGGCTGTAAAAAATGGAAAGGCAGACATGATGGTTAAGATATGTATAGTGGCTAAAGGCTTTTCCACATTTGTTAGATTTACAGGTTTTCTTTGTGATGACTTTTCTCAAATTTGAGAATAATTGGTTCTAGAAGCCTTTTATACATAAAGGATAAAGAACAAGGGTTTCCTACATTCTCATAATTGTCCTTCTGTATGAGTATTCTAATAATCTGTATGTAAGCAGAAGCCCTAAAGGCTTTTTTATGTTATATAAAATACAGTGTAAACTCAGAATCTGAGCAACATTTGGGTCACAATTTAAAACTTCAAACATTACTTACATTCTGAGGAGTTCACACCAGTATAAATTGATAACCTTTTAAGAACTGAATCATATCTAAAAGCCTTCCTACATTGTCTTCATTGAAATTATTTTTCAGTGGCATGAATCCATTGATGTATATTGTCTACTGAGGAGTACTAATTTTTAAAAGAACTAAAAGTGTGATTCTAGGGGCACCTGGCTGGCATGCAGCTCTTGATCCTCGAGGTCATCAGTTCAAGCCCCACTTTGGCTGTAGAGCTTACTTTAAAAAAAAGTGTGATTCTGTATTGCAGGAAAAATTCTTTAAAACTAAAAATGTTTGATCTTCTGTTATGTTCTTTTTTTAGCGACTTCAGGAAGAAATCACTAAACAGTCTCCAACATTGCAAAGAAATGCTTTATATATCAAATCTGTAAGTTTTTCATTCCTTTTGAATTTGAATCCATTTTGATGAAAGGTTTCCAGTTAGTTAATTTTACCCAGTCTTTGTTTTTTTCCCAAACCAAGCATTAAAAACTTCTGTGGTATTTGCATGTGATAGGATTTCTTGCATTTTTTTTCCCCTCAGTCTAAGATCAGCCGACTACCTGCTTACTTGACAATTCAGATGGTTCGATTTTTTTATAAAGAGAAGGAATCTGTGAATGCTAAAGTTCTTAAGGTTAGTAATGAACTTCAGTATAATAAAATATTGTAATTCTTTGATGGCAATCCCTAATTCACAATAGATTTCTTTCTTCCTTTAGGGATAAACTTTCTTTGAAATATTATAAGTAGGGAAGTTATTAACATTAGACAAGTGGTTCTTTGTTTGTTTGTTTGTTTGTTTGTCAGAGAGAGGGACAGCATGCACAAGCAGGGAGAGCAGGAAGCAGAGGGAGAAGCATGCTCCCTGCTGATTAAGAGCCCCATGTGGGAATTGATCCTAGGACTCTGGGATCATGACCTGAGCTGAAGGTAGATGTGTAACTGATTGAGCCACCAGGTGCCCCTGTCCTTTTTTTTTTTAAAGATTTTATTTATTTGACAGAGATACAGCGAGAGAGGGAACACAAGCGGGGGGAGAGGGAGAAGCAGGCCTCCCGCCGAGCAGGGAGCCCGATGTGGGGCTCGATCCCAGGACCCTGGGATCTGACCTGAGCCGAAGGCAGACGCTTAACGACTGAGCCACCCAGGCGCCCCATCCCTGTCCTTTTTATTTTAAATCATACACATGCCTGACTTTCACTACCAGCCCACCCCTAGCATTTGATTAAGTAGGGCCTGAAGTCCTAAAAATTTTTCATAAGATTCACAATTAGTTCTGATGGATGCCCTCCACTCCCCAGAAATACTGCTCTAGACCAGATCCTCAACTCCACAGATACTGACCCAGCAGGTTTAGAGGATGGGAGTGTGGGGTAGGAGGCATGCTGCACTCTCCAGTATGATAGCTGTAATCTCTTGAGTAAGAGCCAGCCTTATGATGTAGCTGTTTTGTAGAACTGTAGCTCTGCTACATATCCACAGTCCGTGATCCCTGGGAGAGCTATATATAATTCTGTCCTCTTGAGCTGAAATTCATAATACAATTTCAAATATACTTACTGTTATATGATAAGGTTAAATGTAGTTGGAGTATTTACAATTGTTAACTTTATGTATTAATATTAGTTTTGAACTGTATCACTATTATTTCTTTGTAAAGGTGTATTTCAAATTACAAAAAGTCATTAAGTGACCCCATTTGTAAATTGATTCCATTGTCAGTTTTAGGTATCCATTATTTTCACAGCAACTGATGTGCTGTTTCTGAAATGCTTCTTTTGTCATATAAATTTGGTAACTCTTCTGTGGTCAGAGTCTTGGGTTTAATTGGAAAAAAAAGCTAAACAAATTTTTTTAATCTTAAAAAGTTAGAACCAGGGGTGCCTGGTTGGCTCAGTCAGTAGAGCATGCGACTCTTTATCTTTTTTTTTTTTTTTTTTAAGATTTATGTATTTTACAGAGAGAGTGGGAGACAGAGCATGAGCAGGGCGGAGGAGGAGGCAGAGGGAGAGGGAGAAGCAGGCTCCCCACTGAGCAGGGAGCCTGATGTGGGACTTGATCCCAGGACCCCTGGGATCATGACCTGAGCCGAAGGCAGACGCTTAACCGACTGAGCCAACCAGGTGCCCCGTGATTCTTGATCTTAGGGTTGGAGCCTATTTAAAAAAAAAAAAAGTTGGGACCACATTGAAAATAAGCACTATGATGTTTTCAGCTGCATAGATTTCCAAGTGATTTTTATGAATTTTATTTTCAACTTCATTTGAATTATGAAAGTACTACTGTAAAAGTATGATAGATATTTTAAATAAGTACCTTTATAAGGGTGTTTACACATACTCTTTCTTTTTGGTTTGTATATAGGATGTTAAATTTCCTCTTATGTTGGATGTGTATGAACTGTGTACCCCAGAACTTCAGGAGAAAATGGTCTCTTTTCGAACAAAATTCAAGGATCTAGAAGATAAAAAAGTGAATCAGCAGCCAAAGACAGTAGGTTCTTATTGCTGATTTTCTCATCTTAATAGTTTAATCTTTAATCAGTGTTCAACAATTACTGTTACTCTCTTAGTAATTACTTTGTTAATCTCTCAGTAAAAATGGATGAACCTTTATTTTATTTAGCACATATACAAAGTTTTAGGTGTATTTTAGCATAAGAAAAAGAACTCTAGTTAGGGTAAATAGGCCCTTTATGGTAGAGTAAGCTTAATATTTTCTTTTTGCCTGTAATCTGTAGCCTATATTCCTTTTATATTTATCTCCTCAAAGCATTTCACATAAAGTGTTGCCTAGTATTTTCAGTGTATTTTATTGTTTTCCTTGTAAGTCATGGAATTATTTCTATTTTTAGATGGAATTAGTGGGATAGAATCCTGGCTCATCTATGCCTATAGTGACAAATAAGTTGTATCTTTTTAATTTGTTATTTAATTTTTATTTAAATTCAAGTTAGTTAACATAGAGTACAGTATTGGTTTCAGGAGTAGAATTCAGTGATTCATCACTTACATACAACACCCAGTGCTCATCACAACAAGTGCCCCCCTTAATGCCCATCGTCATCTAGCCCATCCTCCACCTGCCTTGTTCCAGCAACTCTCCGTTTGTTCTGTATGGTTAAGAGTCTTTTATAGTTTATTTCCCTGTCTCTCTCTCTTTTTCCCCCCTCTCCCTATGTTTATCTGTTTTGTTTCTTAAACTCCACATGAGTGAAATCATATGATACTTGTCTTTCTCTGACTGACTTCACTTAGTGTAATACACTCTAGCTCCATCCATGTCATTGCAAATGGCAAGATTTCGTTCTTTTTGGTTGAGTAATATTCGTACGTGTGTGTACACACATGTCTTTATCCATTCATCAGCCGATGGACATTTGGGCTCTTTCCAGAGTTTGGCTGTTGTTGATGGTGTTGCTATCAACATCAGGATGCATGTGTCCCTTCGCATCTGTCTTTTTGTATCCTTTGGGTAAATACCTAGTAGTGCTGTTGCTGGGTCGTAGGGTAGCTCTGTTTTTAACTTTTTGAGAAACCTTCATACTGTTCTCCAGAGTGGCTGCACCAGCTTGCATTCCCACCAACAGGGCAAGAGGGGTTCCCCTTTTTTCTGCATCCTCACCAACACCTGTTGTTTCTTGTATTAATTTTAGCCATTCTGACTGGTGTGATAAATTGTATCTTTTAATAAGTGCTGCTTGTATGCCTGCCTATAATTGCTAAAATCACAACCTTAGGAAACTTTATATTTAATAAGTTGTATCATTTTAGGTTCAGATAGGGTACAGCTGACCTGTGTTGGATTTTTTTTTCCCACAATGAAAAAGATCTTTCCTGATAACTAGAAATATTTCCAGTGTGATACTATATGTCATTTAAATTCTGCAAATTACTGTGGGTGTGTAGTGCGTGTGTGTAGTGCGTGTGTTAAATGGTTTTTTTTTTTTAACATTAAAATTTATTTTGAGATAATTGTAGAATCACATGCATTTATAAGAAATAATATGAAGAGGGGCGCCTGGGTGGCTCAGTGCATTAAGTGACTCCTTCTGCTCATGTCGTAATCCCAGCGTCCTGGGATTGAGCCCCCCATCGGGCTCCCTGCTCAGCTCCCTGCTTCTCCTCCCTGCTTCTCCTCCCTCTGCCTGCCACTCCCCCTGCTTATGAGTGCACTCTCTCTCTGTGTCAAATAAATAAATAAAATCTTTAAAAAAAAAAAAAGAAATAATATGAAGAGATCCAGGTACCTTTTACCAAGTTTCCCCTGTGGTAATATCTTACAAAACAATAACACAGTATCACAACTTGGATATTGACTTTGATGCAGTCTAGATACAGTACATTCTCATCACTACAGAAATTCCACATACTGCTCCTTTGTAGACAAACCCACTTTCCTTTGGCCCCTGCCTCCTCTTCAATTCCTAGCAACTGTTAACCTGTTCTCCATTTCTGTAGTTTTGTCATTTTAAGATACGAAATGGAATATATATATATATAGTACTATATTATACATATACTATATATATACTATATAAATGGAATCCTATCATATATAACTTTTTGGGATTTTCTTTTCTCAGCATACATAATTCTCAGGAAATTAGCCCAGGTTATTTTGTATAACAGTAGTTCCTTCTTTTTTGTTGCTGAATAGTATTCTGTTATGCATATACCATATTTTGCTTAACCATTCAGCTGTTGAAGGACAGCTGGATTGTTTCTAGTTTCATTTATTTTGAATAAAGTTGCTGTAAGTATTCATGTACCATTTTTTTTTTTTTAATATTTTTTATTTGAGAGAGAGCGAGTGTGAGTAGGGGGAGGGGCAGAGAGAGAGGGAGAAGCAAACTCCCTGCTGAGCAGGGAGCCCTGTGTGGGACTCAATCCCAGGACTCTGGGATCATGACTTAAGCCGAAGGCAGATGCTTAACCGACTGAGTCACCCAGGTGCCCCTCATGTACCAGTTTTAGTGTAAACATAACTTTTCATTTCTCTGGAAATAAATACCCAGTAGTATAATTGCTAGATTGCATGGTAGTTGTATATTTAATTTTTAAAGAAACTGTCAAAGGTTTTCCATAGGGACTGTACCATTTTAAATGCTCATTAGCAGTATATGACTGATCCACTTTGTGCATTCTTGCTAGAATTTGGTGATGTCAGTATTCTTTATTTTAGCCATTTGGATAGGTTTGCAGTGATACCTCATTGTGGTTTTTAATTTGCTTTTTCCTAGTGGCTAATGATGTTGAGTGTGTCTTCATGTATTTATTTGCCATCTGTATATCCTCTTTGGTGAAATGTTTCTTCTTGTCTATTCATTTTCTAATTGTGCTATTTTTCACTCTTGAATTTTGAGAGTTTTTTATATTATAAATACTAATCCTTTGTCAGATACATGGCTATCATATATTTTCTCCTTGCCTTTGTCTTTATCTTTTCATCTTCTTTAGGGTCTTTTGCAGAGGAAAAGTTTTTAATTTTTAGGTAATCCAATGTGTTTTTCTTTGGTTGTTCTTGCTTTTGGTGTCCTATCTAACAAACCATTGCCTAGTCAAAGGCCACAAAGATTTATGTCTGTTTCTCTTATAAGAGTTTTAAAGTTTCAGTTCTTCCCATTTAGTTCTTCCCCGGTTTTTGATCCGTTCTGGGTTAATTTTTGTGTGTGGAATGAGGTGCATATCCAAATTCATGCTATTGCATGTGAATATCCTATTCTTGGCCCATTGAATGGTCTTGGTACCCTTGTAGAGGATCAGTTGACTGTAGAGATCTATATATCTGGACTCTCAGTTTTCTTCCACAGGTCTTTATGTCTGTCCTTATGCCAGTGCCACAGTCTTGATTACTGTAGTTTTGTAGTAAGGATGTAGCAAAGTATGAGCCTTTCAGCTGTTCTTTCAAGATTGTTTTGGCTCTTATGAATGCCTTGTATTTCCATTATTTTAGGATCAGCTTGTGTATTACTTCAAAAAAAACAATTGGAATTTTGATAGGATTGCAGTGAATCTGTAGATAATTTGGAAAGGATTGCTGTTTTAACAGCATTAAGTCTTGGCAGTCCATGAACTTGATAATGTCTTTGTATTTATTTGTATCTTAATTTTTTTCACCAATGTTTTATAGTTTATAGTATATAAATCTTGTACTTTGGCTAACTTTATTCTTAAGTATTTTATTCTTTTTTGATGTTTGAGTAAATGGCATTGCTTTCTTAATTTCATTTTTAGATTATTCTTTGTAATTGATTTTTGTATATTGATCTTTGCTGAACTGGTTTATTAACTGTTCTTTTTTTCCTCTTATTTTTTGAAAGATTGTGTAGAACCTAGTATTAATTCTTTTTTAAAGTTTTGGTAGAACATTGGTGGAAAAAAATCAGCCTGGAGATTTTTTTCCAGGCATTTTTAAATTAAATATTTGACTTCCTTTGTAGTTATGGGCTATTCAGATGATGTAATTTCATATTAGATTTGTTTTGGTACTTTGTTTTCATGGAATTGATCTATTTTATCTAGCTTGTCAATTTTGTGTTGTAGAGTTGTTCCTTGTATTTATTTATTTATTTATTTTTGATGTCTGCAGGGTCTATAATGATATCTGTCCCCTGTTTCATTCCTGATATTGGTAATTTGTCTTTTTTTTTTTTTTCCTTTGTCTTGTTAGAGGATTGTCAGTTTTATGATCTTTTCAGAGAACTGGCTAAGTGGATTTTTCTCTTTTTCTGTAATATTAATGATTTCTACCCTTCTGCTTGTTTGGGGTTTATTTTGTTCTCCTTTTTCTAGGTTCTTAAATTGTGGGAGCTTAGATTTTTGGCTTCAAACTTTTCCCTGATGTATGCATTTAGTGCTATACATTCTCTCTCAGCAGTGCTTTCACTGTGTCCTACAAATTGTTATATTGTATTTTCATTTTCATTCTGTCTTGTATTTTTTTTTTAAAGGTTTTATTGATTTATTTGAGACAGAGAGCACAAGAGTGAGAGAGAGCATGAGCAGGGGTTGGGGAAGGAGAGGAAGAAGCAGACTCCCCGCTGAGCAGGGAGCCCTATGTGGAGCTTGGATCAGGACTTGAGCTGAAGGCAGATGCTTAACCAGCTGAGCCACCCAGACACCTCTCTGTTCCTTGTATTAAAAAAAAAAAAAAATCTCCCATGGGACTTCTCTTTGAATTTGGATTATTTAGAAGTGTCTTGTTTAGTTTCCAAATATTTGGAAATTTATTTATTATCTTGCTGTTACTGCTTCTAGTTTGATTTCATTGTGAAAGAACACACTTGTGTGATTTAAATTCCTTTAAATTTGAAGTTTGCTTTATGGCTTAGGATGTGATATATCTTGGTATATGTTCTGTGGGTACTTGGAAAAAAAATTGTATTCTATGGTTGTTGAATGGAATGAATGTTCTATAGATGTTGATTAGATCCAGTTGGTTGATGGTGGTGTTGCATGTTCCTGTAACCATGCTGTTTTTCTGTCTAGTTGTTCTATCAGTTTTTGTGAGAGGAGTGAGGAAGCTAAAATTGTGGTTTTATGTGTTTCTCCATTCGGTTCTGTCCACTTTTGCTTTGCATAGTTTTGTAGCTCTGTTATTTGGTGCATACACCTTTAGGATTGCTAAGTATTCTTAAGTGGAGTGACCCATTTTTATTATGCAACATCCCTCTCTGTCCCTGGTAGTTTTCTTTACTCTAAGTCTACTTTTCTGATATTACTATTGCCAGTGCTGCTTTGTTTTTGTTAATGTTTGCATGATGTCTTTTTGTATTATTTTACTTTAAATTTGCCTATATTGTTATATTTGAAGTTTCTTATAGACAGCATAGAGTTGGTTGTGTATTTTAATATACTGTTAATCTCTTATTGCTTTATTTAGACTAAACATTTACATTTAATGTAAGTTGATTTGTTAATTGTGTTATATTTTGCTTTCTCTTTGTTCTGTTTTTCACTTCTTTTTATTGCCTTCTAGGTTACTTGAACATAGAATTCTAAATTGACTTATCTACGATTTTTTAAAAATCTTTTTCTTTGTATACCTTTTTCTATGGTTACTCTAGGTGTCAAATTTTAATACAAAAGGGAATAGTTGACTTAATTGCCATTTTTTTGTTGTGGGGGCCTTTGACTTCTTGTCACTCTAGTGATCTTTAAACTACTTGCATTGTGTTCATTACCATTATAGTTTTCAAGAACTTTGTGCCCATATGCTTAGATAAGTTTGATTTTTTTGTATTACACACTGCAATGAGTTGAGGCAAGGAATTCCCACCAAAGATCTTTGTCTAAAATAGTGAATCCTCTCTTTCAATATTAGGTAAATATTTGCTGAATGAAATATTTCAGCTCATTTAAGCTAAGTTCATTCATTTCATTTGAGCAGGTGGCCATGTCTTAGTAGGTTTAATGTTAGTTCAGTAATTCGACTTTTCTTTCATTGAGGTACCTATTTTTTTTTTTTTAATCCTATGTGGTTTGATAGGATTTTGGTAAAAATATAGAATTGGGTTTTCCTTTTCTACCCTAGAGTACTGTTTGTACTGTTATATTCACTGATATGCTGTAGGTTTAGTGGCTTATAGTTGGTCCTAGAATCAGAGAGTCTGTTACTGTGCATACAAGATTGTATATTGTTGAAGTATAGCTCCTTTGGGTTTATAGTTTTGTGTTAACTATGGTTATATCGTTTTAGTAATTTGTAAGGTAGTATTTTATATTGTAGTCAGTAAATATGTGTGGAAAGAATATTTATTGAATAGAATACAAATTTTATTTCCAGTATCATGATTTAAAATTAAAATTTTTTCCCCTCAGAGTGACAAAAAGAGTAGTCCCCAGAAAGAAGTTAAATATGAGCCTTTTTCTTTTGCTGATGGTAAGTGGAAAAAAATCATTTCAATTGAGTTACTGTGTGTGTGTGTGTGTGTGTGTTTAAGGTAAAATTATTGTCTTGGCACTTACCTATTTTTTTTCAGATACCATGCTTTTTTAAAAAGAAAATCAGATTTTTTTTTTATTAAAGGTTTTTTTAATTTATTCATTAGCTACAGAGAGAGAGAGCATGAGCAGGGGGAGAGGCAGAGGGAGAGGGAGAAGCAGGCTCCCTGCTGAGCCAGGAGCCCGATGTGGGGCTCGATCTCAGTACCCTGGGATCATGCCCTGAGCCGAAGGCAGACGCCTAACCATCTGAGCCACCCAGGCGCCCCAGAAAGTCAGATTTTTAAAATACAATTTACCTTAATTAGACACACAGTAAAAATCAGTCTTTTTAGGATGTAGTTCTGTGAATAATATCATACTTGTTAAAATATCTTCCATAAATCCTTAACTTTGAACTGTCATATCTTATTGAATTCTAGTAATAGGCTAACCTATTGCTACCTAGCTGGAGAAATCACGTCTCTTCATTGTCTAATATTGTTGGATTTACATCTTTCTTTAGACATTGGCTCCAATAATTGTGGATACTATGACTTACAAGCAGTGTTAACACATCAGGGAAGGTCTAGCTCTTCAGGCCATTATGTATCATGGGTGAAAAGGAAACAAGGTAAGGATTCTGTTTTTTTTTTTTTTTTCCCCCAGTAGTTAGTTAATTTAACAGTTTACTTAGTACAGATTTTTTGCACAGTGGTTTTCAAACTTTTTGGTCTCAGAACTCCTTTACCTTCTTAATTGTTGAGGTCCACAAAGAGCTTTTGTTTATGAGGATTCTCTTTAATATTTACTATAATAGAAATTAAAACTGAGAAATTAACTCATTGGAAACTGACAGGAATAAACCCATTACATATCACATAAATAACAAAGATAACAGTATTTTCCAAAACAAAAAAATAGCAAGAAATAGTATTGATTTGTTTTTGTAGGTCTGCTTTGTCTGGCTTAGTAGGAGACACCTGTTTCTGCATTCAGTCTCTTATCACACATCCTATGACTTCTGGAAAATTCCAAAGCACACTTGAGAGAATGAGGGAAAAAGGCAAATAACACTTTAGTAGTGATATAAAAAAATTATGACCTTCATAGTACCCCTGAAATGGTCTTGAAACCTGAGTAGCCCCTGGACCACACTTTGAAAACTGTTAGTATGGCAGATGGAATACTGCTGTGCATAAAAGTACTCAGTACCTTTTTTGAAATGGAACTGAGAAAACATGTATGATATTAATTTCATTTTCTTCTCTTGTTCTTTAGATGAATGGATTAAGTTTGATGATGATAAAGTCAGCATCGTGACACCAGAGGATATCTTACGGCTTTCTGGTGGTGGAGACTGGCACATAGCATATGTTTTACTCTATGGGCCTCGCAGAGTTGAAATAATGGAAGAGGAAAGTGAACAGTAATCTTCATTTTAGCTATTTATGTTTAGGTGTGAAATAAATGTTACTTGTTGATCATTTCTATAATCCAGAGCTGTAGAGGAAGATATGTAGGTGGTTTTGTGTTTCCCCTCTCATGTAGAACAAAAGAGGGTGAAGCAGACCACTCTGTGGATCAACCTAAAAATTACAGAAAAAAAAATTGCCTTTGGACTGTGTGGTCGCAGGAAGACATTTTTAAAAAGCTTATTTCTTGCATTAATTTTTAAAAATTCTGATTTGAAATGCCTTTCAGCCATTACCTTCCATGATAAATTTTTTCTCCCTGCCTTTTTCAGCCCAGGATTCAGCAATCAGATGTTTATTGCACACCTATTACTCTTTTTGTTGTTGTTGTTCTTGCATGGTTCAAACCACCGGTGATTCATAGCTGCCCATCCTTTGCCTTATCTAACAAAAATTTTGCCAGGAAGGTGGAAAGGAAGGACGTGTTGCTCTCATTGTGTTACTCAGTGCTGCTGCCCACATCCCATGGAAACATGGGTACAATCAAGTATTTGTCCAGCCTGACTGTTGCTGGCTTTTCATGACTTTAAAATAAATTGTGATCAGTAATAGTACATTTGATTATACATTCATTATTGTGTCTCTCTGATGTACTATGGTTTGTATGTTTAACTTTGCAATGGTTTTGTAGTAATCAACCTTAAAAAGTTGACAAGCTCTCGTTGCTTATTTTTAGAAAATGAGGATATTTAATAAAAAAAAAAAAAAGAGGGACTAACAGCTTCTGACCTCAAGTCTTTTGTCTACTGAGTGTTGGAGCTTGGGTTAAGTTTAGGTCTATTTAATATCACGCCTTGCTGCAGGTTGTTAGTTTTACTCTGCTGTTAAGCATCCATTTAAAAATGTTCTCTTCTGCCTTCTCACATTATGTTCTGTTTAAAAGAAATACAAAGTTGTAAAAGTAACAGAGTTCTTTGGATGCTGAATGCAACGATGTTTATTGGTCTGTCTTTTCTTTGGCTCAGTTGTTTTTACTCGTCTGTTCCCAAAATCTTAATGTGTATCTCAGAATTGAATAATAGCAATGATTTTTAAAGTACCAAGAGTAAGTGGTGTTTCAGTATGGTAGGTTTCTTACATTTTAATACATTCTAATTAATTCCTTATCTTTGTTTCAAGAGCCTTGATTGCTAGACAGAGGATAGGAAATTAGCTCATTTGTCTCTGATTTTGAGTTAGGTATATAAAATGAAGCTTGGGGGATTATCATGAAATCTCCTCTTTACTTACGCTGTTTTCATGCTCTGCAGAGCATAGCACTGGTAACTATTAAATTCCTAGAGAATAATGGCCAATTTCTTCTCAGCTTTGAACAATGTGATAAAACCTGAGAACCCTAGGAGATAAAATAAGCATTTCAGGGAAACTTATTTGTAAATAGCTTCTTCAGCTAAGTGGTGATTACTGGCAATCATTATTCCCTTTGCCTTGGCGGAGGGTGCAGAATAGAATGGGGAAGAGGAGACCATAAGAAGTGTAATGATTCTTAGATGGTGCTATGATGCTTGTGACTCTGCATTTTTTATTCAGTCTGTCTTGGTCTGAACAATTTTGAGGACATAAATTTAGCGATTAGAATTCTGATTTCTGACTTGAATGATGCTGTAGCTAGTAGATGAGGTAGGTTTAGAACAAAGTATATGTCTTGTATGGAGTTAAGATTTTTAAAATTGTAATTCCTTAATTGTTTTAAAAATGGATTTCAGTTTATTTAATCCAAATAAGCATTAGTCCAAAGATTTTTTTTTTTTTTTTTTTTTAAGAAATTGGACTTACACCAGTGTTTTAAACTAATAAGGCTATTTTAGAGTTCAGCCTTGCATATAAGGTCTTTGAGAAGGGAGAGTGGTCAAGAAAATTTCTTGATTCCTGAGTGTGCCTTATATGCTGTGCCATGAGCACGGAGGCCCTTTTGATATTAGAGCTGTGCTGTATCACTGTTGGACTAGCCAGTGAAGTTAAGTCCAAGCAAGAACATTTATGGTGTAATATGCACTTAGGTGTATTATGCACTTAGTAGCCTTTCAGGATACAAAACATACAATGATAACCTAATGTTAGAGCCCTACAGGGTAATTATGCTTATGTGGGAATGGGAAAAGTAGATGGTACTGTCCCCAGCCATTATTACATAGTGCTTTGCTGTTTGTAGATCGCTTTCACCTACATATCTCAAACTTCACATCAATCCTGGAAGTATGCATCCCTATTTTAAGGACTTAGGATTTTAGACTTCACCCTGTTTTTTTTTCAAGTTGGGGGCTGGCAAACATTTTCTGTAATGGGTGGGGTGGATAGTACATATTTTAAGTTTCGCAGGCCACAGTCTTTGTCATAGCTACTTAACGCTGTTGTTGTAGCATGAAAGGAGCCATAGATGATACTTAAATCAGCAGAACTGTGTGCTGATAAAATTTTACTTGTAAAAGCAGGTGGGAAATGGGCCAGTGTTTGCTGATCCTCTGCTTTAAGGCATAAATGAGTAAGACTAGAGCAGTCATATGGTTTCAGAAAGTCATTGTGGGATTTTCAGAACAGCAAGTTAAATTTTGTAACTACTAATGGCATGTAGGAAACGAAGTTGGCATAGTGTATCTATCTTAGGAAACACCATGCTCCCTAAATATTGCTTACTGACTTCATTATAAATATTTTAACAAAAAATATGTGATCTTGAGGTCGCTTTATTTTGTCCATTTTCTCAACGTACTCCCTTCGCCTGAAACCCTGAGGTCAGTTATCAAGAGCCAATACGCCTTCTGTTGTTCGTGGAGCACCAGCCAACTGTACAACAACTGTTATAAAAATGTTTATTGTTTACCAAAACCATTGGACCTCTTATCAAATGCTGCTTGGTAACAAAATCTTATCACAGTTTTAATAAAAAAAAAGAAAGAAAGAAGCTAACTATTTGTCTCATTGTCATTAGTTAGACTTTCTGCAAGGTCACTTAATCCGGACTTATTCAGTGCATTCATCAGATTCTCAGGTGTTGCATGTACTCCCTCTTGATCTTGCCAGGCGACCAGTAGCTGCTTAGCTCTCATCTTCATGTCTTCGCTATCACACTCAATTTGTCTAATTTCCGAGTCTTTCATTTCCAAGTAGGGAGCCAAGATCTTCCATTGCTCGCCCAGTTTACTGGCAAACACCTCTATTTGTTCCCCTGTTACAGGTTTGTCTCGGCGAACATCAGGGCCTAGGAAACACAGGAGATGTAAATTATGTACAAAGCCTGAGGACATGTACAATTCAAAATATACAACAGAATGGGGAAGATACGGGGCACTGAAATATTAATCACCTTTCATAAGCTTTATTTTAAAACAATTCCTTTCTATATTTTTCATGGGGTGAATATTGTTCTTATAGTCATGATCACTAGGTCTCAATACTTTTAAAACTAAAGCTGCTGCCTCTATTGTAATTATGAAGGTCTCCCCCGAAAGCAGCTGCTCTCTTCTAACCCGCCCCCCCGCCATTAACAAACAGGTGAGTCACCTTCAAATCTAATGACTTTCCTTCCCATCACTTCCAAATTCTATTGCATAAAGTGTAATATTTTAAAAGTTATCAAGCAATGTTTAAAATTCCTCACTATAAGAAACAGCTGAGATAAATGGTAGAGGTTGAGAAGTAGATCAAATAACGTACCTCTCAACAAAGAACCCCAATCTTTTCCAATTTTGTAAAATAGCCAAGAAAATTCAATTCTTACTTTCATTTTCCTTCAGTAAAGCATCATTATCTTCCTCATCTTCATCCTCACCTGTTTTTATCTCTTCAGAAGGAGGCTAAAATGAGGAAGAAGAATGTTTAAGAGAATGCCAACTTGTAAAATAACTGGGGATACTTTTGGTTTAGGTTATGAGTGGTTGAGATTCCACATTCCAGGGCCCAGAACTTGATCCTTGAGCGTGTTAAATGTGAATGTCAGGTAAGGATCACAAATGGCATGGTGTTAACGTGGAGAAGGAGTGGACGGGAAAGACTCCCCTTCCCCCACACATGGGAAGAAGGCAGAGCCAGTAAAGAGTACGGTAAGATGATTTGCAAATATCTAGCATATAGTAATGATGGGCTGGAGAAAACCAGGGGAGCAATTGGGTTCTTAAAAAATTTTTTTAGTAATTTTACGGTATAGTTATTACCATATTGTAGTAATACAATGAGAAAATTGTATTGGAAAAGAGAACAGAGTAGAAAGGTAGGTCTAGGTACCTACTGCTACCCATTATAGATCCTGTTTGATAAAACACAATACATTGGCAAATAGGAAAAATTCATGTCTGAGTTTACAGGTGAGATAATTGTTTAACCAAAATACTGTGGGCTTTAAAATTAAATTACATGCTTTATAAAAAATTTATCAACTTATGTACTTCCTGTAAATGTACACTCAAATGCATTTTTCCTTATTCTTAAACATGGAGGTTTGTGGATTATTTTTTCCACACAATAAACTGTAAATTCAGCTTCTTAATGATAGTAGTTTTAACAAGATAGCAAAGAATATGAAAACGTTGATCTACATTACTTACTGGTAATTCCTTTGCTAGCTTTATTACCATGTTTTCAAGATATTCTGGCAAACTTTTAAATTGCTGGTTGGTTGGCTGGAAGAAGTGAGGGCTTCTCCGTGCTAACAGTCTCAGGGCTCTCCAACCATAATTTGAATTGTTCACAGCCCTAGGGAAAGAAATGTCAGTCTTGTCATTTATGGTTTTTTATTTCTCTATGCCTTCCAGTTAGCGTATAGAGTGTCACATGGTAAATTAACATTAAGTAGCTGAAGGCACCATTCTTTTCATTCTGATCTTATTCCTAAAGAACCTCTGAGTGTGCAGTACACTTACAAATGAACACTAGAAATGGGCAGAATCTGATGAGGCAGGTTCATGTGCAGCAAACATCTGAAAAGTTTAATACCCGTTTTACTTAATTTAAAAAGTCAATCAGTATGTGTATAGTAATAACTAGGTGTTCTGTGTGCAGGACAGTCATCATCTATGTCTTTAGAAGAAAAACGAATAGGCTTTTACTATAGTCAGTCAGCTGACGCCCATACAGACAATGCCACCTGCAGGTGTGAATTCCAGAATGTAAGTTCTATCAGCACTGAGTTTTGACCATATTCATTCAATACATCATTCTCCATTTATATAAGCCTCTCATTTTAGTTCGCTTAATACCAAACTCAATGAATAAAAATGGTTCCAAAACTAAAAGGGAAACATCGAATAGCCACCACAGTGAGCAGGGATAGATACATAGTGATACAGAGCACAGCACCGGGCGCTACACAGTAAGGTGAGAAATGCAAACCTCACGAATTCTAAAGATAATGTTCCAGAACCAGCCAAGCTGGAGAAGAATCCAGAGCACAAATTTACTCTGTAAATTTTTGCAAGTCATTTGGAAGATCCCCCTAAGTTCTTAAGGGTAGCACCTGGTTTATTTAGTCCTCCTCTTGAAATGAGCCTCTACTTTTAGCAAGTGCAAAACTACTCCTACACCGGTCTTGCCAACTTAATGTCATGGTACAAGGCTTTGCCTGATCAGTTAACCAGCCTACCTCTCTTGACACATTTCCATTTAAGCAGTTTCAATCTTTTTTTTTTTTTACTTAAAGATGTTATTTATTCATGACAGAGAGAGAGAGTGAGAGAGAGGCAGAGGGAGAAGCAGGCTCTCAAGGAGCAGGGAGCCTGATGCGGGACTCGATCCCAGGACCCTGGGATCATGACCTGAGCTGAAGGCAGATGCTCAACCATCTGAACCACCCAGGTGCCCCAGTTTCAATCTTTTAAGCATTTTCAAAATTCTCCACCAGTTACACATACAAACTTTCTTACTCTCCAGAAATCCATACCATTCAGGTTCTTAAAGCAAGGTTCGCGGAGAACTCTCATTCATTCATTCATTCATTCAACAAATACTTGGTGAGCTGGGCACTCAGACCTTAGAGGTACCCTGAACACCCGAGACACTACAATCTTGCAGTTAAGAGCAGGGCCCTGAGGCCGGAGTGATTTCCTGGCTCTGGCATTTACTAGATGAGAACTTCAATACATGATTCACCCTCTCTCCTCACTTTAACTGTAAAAGGGAGATAAGGGCAGTTTCTGCCTTAAAGGTATAGATGGTAAGTACTTAGGGAGGACCTGACAGTGAATGTGGAAATGTGTTGGCAAACATCATTACTATGGATAAACACCAGGTATAAGAATTTCACACAGTGGTAAGGATAAGAAGAACATGAGAAATGGGAATTTCAGATAGGGAGGGGCTTCTGGGCCAGGGAAAACTGCCCTGAGACAGTATCTGAGAGGAGAACTGAAGTGAGCCCACACCACAGGAGTAGCTTGGGGAGAAGTGGAAAGACCTTTGAGTTGAAGAACAGAAACCTGGCTGGTGTAGTTAGAGCAGAAAGAAAATGAACAAAGAGGAGAAGTGATCGAAAGTAGGCAGCAGCCAGACGGGTCTTTTAGGCCCTGGTAAGGAGTTTGGATTTCATCCTAATTTTACCAGGCAGTCACTGGAAGAGTTAAAGCAGGAGATCAGACTTGTGAGTTTAAAGATCACAATTTGCATGCTGGAGAACTGACCGGAGCATCATTAGTTAAGAGATCACAGTAACTAACTCATAACTAGTCACAAGGTCACACGAGTCAGAGCACTCTATTTTCTGTGTGCTAACTACATGTCCTGTGTGGCTCAAAGTGAATCCTCTTATTTAATCCTCAGAATAACCCCATGAAATGGGTATTATACTATTTAGCAATGAGAAAACAAGCAGAAAGGGGTTACAGTAGCCCTAGAAGCCTAGCCAGTGAGTGACAGAGTGTCCTGGGATTGGAACCCAGGGAATCTGACAAGAGGGTCCTTGCCCTTAAATGATGACACCAAACTGCCTATTTAAAACCATGGGGCTGGGACACCTGGGTGGCTCAGTCGTTAAGCGTCTACCTTCGGCTTAGGTCGTGATCCCTGGGCCCTGGGATCAAGCCCCACATCGGGCTCCCTGCTCAGTGGGGAGTCTGCTTCTCCCTCTCCCCCTGCCTGCAGCTCCCTCTGCTTGTGCTCTCTCTCCGACAAATAATCTTTAAAAAAATTTTAAAAAATAAAACCATGGGGAGGGGGTGCATGGGTAGCTCAGTCAGTTGAGTGCCTGGCTCTTGGTTTCAGCTCAGGTCATGATCTCAGGGTTGTGAGATCGAGTCTAACGTAGGGCTCCACCCTCAGTGTGGAGTCTGCTTGACATTTTCTCCCTCAGCCCCTCCCCGCTTGCACACTTTCTCTCTAAAATAAGTAAATAAAATCTTTAAAAAAAAAATCTTTAAAACCACAGGGCTGGGGCGCCTGGGTGGCTCAGTTGGTTAAGCAGCTGCCTTCGGCTCAGGTCATGATCCTGGGGTCCTGGAATCGAGCCCCGCATCGAGCTCCCTGCTCAGCAGAGAGCCTGCTTCTCCCTTTCCCTCTGCCTGACACTCTGCCTACTTGTGCTCTCTATCTCTCTGTCAAATAAATAAATCTTTAAAATAAAAAATAATAATAATAAAAAAAACAAAACCACAGGGCTGTGTGGTGTTGCCTAGAAGATTAGATAAAAAAGCTGAGACTGAGTCCTGAGGTTACTCCAAGATCTGGGAGCCAGCTGAGATGTAGTGAGGCAGGAGTGTAGTTTAATGGATGTCAAGAGAAGAACACATTATCTAAGGAAGGAGAGACAAGTGGTGAATGCTGCTGGGAGGTCGGAAAAAGATGCCATGACCTTGACGAGCGCTATTTCAGTGGAGGGACAGGGAGACCACCCAGTGGCAGTGAGCTGACAAGAATGGGAGGTGAGGAAATGAAGGCAATGGTTATGAACACGTCTCGGGAGACACTGATTTGAAGGGGAAAAGAGGATTGTTGGGAGGGAGGTGGATGCCCAAGGCATTGTTCTTATTTTTTGAAACAAGTGTGATTCTACTTCGTGTTTGTCAGTGGGCATGGTCATTGAAATCAGGAATGTGCACTAATGTGAACTTGGTACATAAATTCACCTAAGAGGAAAAGTACTACCCTATCAGTGGTCTCCCTTAGTGTTCTAATGTACATACAATTCCTAAAAAAATACTGTAGAATGTTAGCTCATAAGAAACATTACTTACTTGTATTCATTTTCAACCATGTTTTCAGGGTCTGCCTGTTCAATGGCTTCCTCAAAGAATTCCTCCAAAGTTGGCATGTATTCCCTGGGTATTAAAAAACAACTAGTAAGGACCATGTGTGTTCATTCTTAATAAAATACTCCTAAAACAGTGGCATTGAAAGATTCTAATTATGACCTACACTTGAGTTAGTTACATTACTTAGGAACCCAGATTTTTAAGGGGGTAAATGACTCAAAACTGAACTTCTCCAAGAGGACCACAGAGGAGCAGTGCGGTGCTACACCGTGTCATATACTATACTCCATGTAACCTAACAGTCACTGGGCTCCACACTGTAATGTTACTGGTCACAGGGACAGCCGGGGATTTCACAGCATTTGAACTTCCCCAGCAAGGAAGAAAATGTCACATCCAGTGCCCACATCCAAGAATGTTTTTTCCTTAAGCCAGCATTAATAAAACCCACACTAATAACCAGACCATATTGAGATTTAAAGAGTTTAACTGTGAGCTTATTTTATGTCACTCCCATGACAGCATGTTGGTTTTTAATTGGATCTTTCTGGAATTTGGTTTTAGAAATAAGATTTTGATAGTCAAGCAAATAAGCAAGATCCAAGGGTCTGATTAGAAGACATCTTTGACTAAGACTAGAAAAATGGGCTCTGTAAGAAAAACTCAAGCACCCAATCTTACAACTTTCAGTACAATAACACACTCTCTTAACTGGTAAACATAAAAGGGCTGGAAGGTTTCCTTGGAGTTTACCACCACTCTTTTATATATCACGCTAGACAAAGCAAGGTGACACTAAAATCCCAACCAGACTATCATTGATCAGTGTTTGGAACCATTTATTAGTTTAAAAATTACTGTACAGTTGACCCTGGAACACCACTGAGCTTGAACTGTGTGGGTCCACTTATTTGTGGATTTTTTTCGATTCAGTACTCTAAATGTATTTTTTTATTATTTTAATATTTTTTTCTCCAGCTTCCTTAAGAATACAGTATATAATACATATACAAAATGTGTTCATATTTTGTGTATCAATCATATCACCTGTTTATGCAGTGAGGCTTCCAATCCACAGTAGGCTGTTGGGGAATCAAAAGTTACTTGTGCATTTTTTACTGTGTGGGGGCTGGCACCCCAAACCCTGCGTTGTTCAAGGGCCAACTATACCGTGATCAATCAAGACTAATAATGGAATGAACCTCCCAGGCACTGCCTTATCTGACTTTTACAAACACTACAAATACAACTCTCCTCTCTGATCTCGTTCTCTTTCCCCAGAGGTGGCCACTCTTCAGAAATTGGTATTTATCACTCCTGTTTTTTTTTTAACTGAGCGTATACTGTTTTGAAGTTTTTCAAACTTTATAATGGAACCATGCTTGTACCCTTCTACAACCCTGATTTTTCTGAAGTACGCCTGTCTGATACAGTAGTTCTCAACCTCATTCTGGGGCCCAATGTACAGCGGTCCGCTACGTGAACGTGTCACACATCATCCATTCTTCCACTGATATTTAGGTAGTTTCCCCAGTTTTGCTGTGACACTGCTAAACGAACATTCCTGCACCATCTCATTGTGCAGGTGAGCTAGTTTCTCTAGACATTATGGTGTTCAAACTTCCCCTACAACTCACAGTAAGGAATTAATTTTATATTACAACCCAAAACACACACATAAATGCGAGCATGTGTATCATACGTAAGTAAAGCTAACGTTTCACAAAAATATATTCTCTATTTCCCTAAAAAAAAATGCTGGTGGCAACTAATAAACTGACTTCACAAATCACCGATTCTCAACCTGAAGTTTTAAAGGAATTACTTTAAAGATCAACCAACCCAGGACTGGAATTGTTAGGACGTAGCGTATGCACACCTTTAACTTTTAGTTACTGCCAAATTGTTTTCCAAAGTGGCTGTACCAATTTAGGCTCCCACCAGCATCACTGGCAAATTATTTATTTATTAAAATTAACATATATTTGTTTCAGGGGTACAGGTCTGTGATTCAACAGTCTTACACAATTCACAGTGCTCACCATAGTACATACCCTCCCCAGTGTCCATCACCCAGCCAACCCATCCCTCCCACCCCCCTCCATTCCAGCAGCCCTCGGTTTGTTTCCTGAGATTAAGAGTCTCTTATGGTTTGTCTCCCTATCTGGTCTCATCTTGTTTCATTTTTTCCCTCCCTTCCCCTATGATCCTCTGTCTTGTAATTCAAATTCCTCATATCAGTGAGATCATATGATACTTGTCTTTCTCTGATTGACTTACTTCGCTTAGCGTAATACCCTCTAGTTCCATCCATGTCGTTGCAAATGGCAAGATTTCATTTTTTTTGATGGCTGCATAATATTCCATTGTATATACACACCACATCTTCTTTATCCATTCATCTGCTGATGGACATCTAGGCTCTTTCCATAGTTGGCTATTGTGGACATTGCTGCTATAAACATCGGGGTGCATGTACCCCTTCGGATCATTACATTTCTATCTTTGGGGTAAATACCCAGTAGTGCAATTGCTGGGTCATAGGGTAGCTCTATTTTCAACTTTTTGAGGAACCTCCATACTGTTTTCGAGAGTGGCTGCACCAGCTTGCATTCCCACCAACAGTGTAGGAGGGTTCCCCTTTCTCTGCATCCCCGCCAACATCTGTCATTTCCTGACTTGTTAATTTTAGCCATTCTGATTGGTGTGAGGTGGTATCTCATTGAGATTTTGATTTGTATTTCTCTGATGCCAAGTGATGTTGAGCACTTTTTCATGTGTCTGTTGGCCATTTGGCTTTCTTCTTTGCAGAAATATCTGTTCATGTCTTCTGCCCATTTCTTGATTGGATTCTTTGTTCTCTGGGTGTTGAGTGTGATTAAGTTCTTTATAGATTTTGGATACTAGCCCTTTATCTGGTGTGTCATTTGCAAATATCTTCTCCCATTCTGTCGGTTGTCTTTTGGTTTTGTTGACTGTTTCTTTGCCGTGCAAAAGCTTTTAATCTTGATGAAGTCCCAATAGTTCATTTTTGCCCTTGTTTCCCTTGCTTCTGGCAAATTATTCTTATCCACAATTCATACAAAATCCCGATGCATTTAAATTATTGAATTTCTTGGCTATGAAGCTGCCTGCTTTGGTTTTTAATCTGTTTCTAGTTACTACTGATGTTGAGTATTTTTTCTTAGGTTTATTAAGATTTCCACTTTTGAAATTGTCTATTTCTTTGTCCATTTTTCTATTGGGTTGACTTCTCAGATTTGGCAGGGATCTAAATGTACTAATTGGCTTGCTAGCATTTTTAAAATTTTCTTAGTCTTTAAAAAAAATTGTTTGGTTTTGCTGATGCTATTATTTGTTTGCTATCTTACCGATTTCCAGTTTTATTTTACTTTCTTTGTAATTTACTTGGTTCAGCGTTAGATTTTTTTTCCAAGTTTTTATTAAATTCTAGTTAATTTACAGTGAAATATTAGTTTCAGGTGTAGAATCTAGTGATTCATTACTTCCATACATCGTCCTGTGCTCATTACAAGTGCCCTCCTTAATCCCCATCACCCATTTAATCCATCCTGTTCTCTCTAGTTAAGTGTCTGTTTTGTCTCTCTAGTTAAGTGTCTGTTTTGTCTCTCTTTTTGTTTCCCCCGCCGTGTTCATCTGTTTTGTTTCTTAAATTCTACATATGAGTGAAATCATATGGTATTTCTCTTTCTCTGACTTATTTTGCTCAGCACAATACATACTAGCTCCATCCATGTTGTTGCAAATGGCAGGATTTCATTGTTTATGGCCAAATAATATTCAATTACAGACACACAAACATCTTCTTTATCCATCAGCTGATAGGTATTTAGACTCTTTCCATAATTCGGCTATTGTAGATAATGCTGCTATAAACATTGGGGTTCGGTGCTGGATTCTTAGTTTTAAGTTAACTCTTAAGGTTATAGACATTTAAGGTCGTACGTTTTCTATTTCTCAAAAGTTTAAACCTGTAATACATTTATCAGTTAATTCTGTTTTCTAATTTACAATTTTTTTTTTTTTAAGATTTTATTTATTTGAGAGAGAGCTAGAGTGAGAGAGCACAAGCAAGGGGAGCTCCAGGCAGAGGGAGAGGGAGAAGCAGGCTCCCCACTGAGCAAGGAGCCTGATGTGGGGCTTGATCCCAGAACCCAAGGATCACGACCTGAGCCGAAGACAGCCACTTAACCGACTGAGCCACCCAGGCGCCCCTTATTCATTAATTCTTATTTCCACCTGTGTCTAGTCTGCTATTTAACATGCCTATTAAATCTTATAATTCGATGACTATATTTTCTTATTGCTAGAATTATTACTTGTTTTTTCAAATTTGCTTGGTCCTAAGTGTCCTCTTCCTTTTAAGTTTCAATTCCTTCTTTTATGTCTTTAACAATCTTAAATATACTTATTTTAAGCTGTATTTACTTGATGGTTTTATTATCTGAAGTGGTTGTTTAACTTCTGTTGTTTGTTTTGTTTGTTCTATCCGCTGATTCTTTCTCATGGTATATTGTTTTCTTGAATGTTTTGAGTTCAGATGGTTGAGTATCTTCAGACTTTTATCTATAGGATCCTTGTGTGGCTTAGGTTGAAGGTGTGACCTCCAGAAAGCTTTGTATCATCAGACTGAGACATCTAAATTCACCCCCTTAGTGAAGGGGTTCCTTTACACTGCTGGTAGTATAAATTTAAGCTGGAGGACTCCATGACAGCAGACTTGTGGTTATAATTTCTCCGGGTGTACTTTTCTCCTTCTCACCCACACCCCAGTTAGAAATGGACAAGCTTGTTTCCTGGGCCAGTGAGCAAGTCCTTCCTCCCCAGTCTGCTCTTCTTTTTATGTTTAGTGCAGTGCTTCAAGGGCCTCAGCTTTATTCAAAGGAAACTCAGTTACAAATCTGTACAGGCCCAAGGCCTTACCTTCTGTCCTTTTGTGGCTCTTAAAACCTAAGTTCCCTGGTTCCCCAAAGTGGGAAGCATCTGCAAGCTTCCCAGCTAGAAGCAACCATAATGGCTCATACTTTGGTTTTCAGTTCCCTCTTCTTTTGTGAATTCGTATTTTTCTGTGATTTCTAAAATTATTTTATCAACATTTCTAGGTGTTTCATGGTGGGAAGCCATATTCTGCTATGCCAAAGTCAACCATAATAAATTAATTTCATTCACTTAACATTTGAGAAAAGTAGTACCTCACGTGAAACATTTTAAACTTGCCTTGTCTCTGATTTGCAAGCTTCCATATTATCAGGACAGAGATTCCAAAGCCTTGTTAACTCCTCACTACAAAACAGACACATAAATAAATACATTTTTAATGGACATCATCCTCCTATGCCTTAAAGTTGTAAAAACACTTAAATAGTGAATTTTTAGGTGGTGACGGAATAAGTTTTAATTTTCTACATTAATTTTCGGTATTCGGCAAATTTTCTATATAAGCATATATTTAATGATACAATCTTTTTTTTTAAACATTCAAGCAGAGTATAGAGCAATGAATAATTAACTGGAAGGTAACAGAAACTGAAGGATCATGGTACCTTGCAGCAACTGGAAGTGAGCTGGATCAATCTAACAGCGATTGTATTGTCTATGACATGGAAAAAATGGCACAGCCTAGAGCCATGGATTTGGGAAGCAGGAGACAAAATGGAAGCTTATCTATCTGCATGAATCCATGTAATGGGCCCTTGAGACTGAGAGCGTGTGGTCTGTTTTAATCATCTATGTATGTACCAAACACCAAAAACACAAAAAACACATAAACTGGGAAGCTCTTACAGTAACATCTTCAAACTATTAAAAAAACGAATACCATCCCACATATGGATACAGGTTAACCTACTTTCCCATTAGAATTTTTTTGTTGGGTCCTTTCCCTAGGAAGTCCTCTGGTGCTGTTCTCTTGCGAGCTATTCTTGTCGGCTTGGTGTCTGATATTCTGTGGTGAATGAAACAAACTGGAATTACAAATGGATAGCACACATAAAAAGTGTTTAATATAAAAGAAAATTCAATTATTGTTTTCTTCCTATAAAAATATAAAAGCTTCCTATTATTATAGAACACTCATCAGATAGAAGACAAAAATGCCACACCAGGGGACAAATTACAAGGAGTGGGTATATAGCATTTTTTTCAATAATGATAGATTAATTTGTTCTGGGAACTTAATGGTAAGAAATCTGAGGTGAAAGATTCAACTAGAAGTAAATCAAAATGGTTGTATGCTTACAGAGTTCAACCTATACTTTATAATATGAAATATATACATCTATACATGTATACATCATGTAAAATAATCACGTCAAACCGTATTTTGAAATGCCTTTCTTCTCATAGTGCTTGGGTATATATTTACCTTTCTTTCACAAAACTTGGGCAGCCTTCATTTTTCCATGAGTTCCAGTTTTCTTCAGTGTTTAATATATGCTGGGAAAAACAAAGAAATTACATTTGTATAATGAAGGCCTTTGAAATTCTATTTGGTGCTAAGAAGACTATGTAAATATAAAACACATACCTCTACCATCTTTGAAAATCTTTCTCCATCGGGGGGGTTTTCAGATAGTAGCTGTGATTAGAAAGAATATACTAAGCTTTCAACAACTTTCTGCATCATAGAAGTGGTTTGTAGGCAGAGGACCAAGAAGTGTTCGTGGTCTTGTACCTGAGCTTAACTTTATCCTTATTTTCCTATTTGGGGCTGAAACAAAGAAAATTCTAAATTTCCATTTTGTTCAATCATGGGTTTGTTGCATGTTGAACTTACTTGATAAACTGATTTTGTAGTATCTTCAATCCAGAGTGATTGCTCATCAGTTAAAACATAGTTTGAACTAGGGAACAAAGCAATAAAAGCATGCTTGAGTTACAGCAATGTATATTCAATTTTAAGGCTTATATACTGTCTTATAAAAACCCGAGGCATGTAACAGATAAGTTAACCATACCAGTGTCAAATAGTGTCAAAAATTACCAAGAGAAGAACAATCACAAATGAGGATTATAAGAGAAAATTCTTGCACTTCATTTAGGATGGTTAGAATTGAAGACACAAAGGTGTATGAGGGAGGATGACACTATCAGTCTGATTAACTATGAACAGAGCAATGAGTGTTTCCTAAAATAAGAAATTTAATGTGGAATGAAAACCTCTGAGACAATATTAACATATTCCTCTCCATGTTGCACATTCAGATATATTCCTTTAAAAGGCAACCAAAACACAATGAATAAAAAACTCCCAAACCTTAGAGAAAGCTGAAGGCAGACCCAAAGTGTTAATCGGTGCTTTTAATTCAGCTCTCACTAGCACTGGATGCTTTATAGCCAGCCAATAAATAGCGATAGACTACTGTGTCAGGATCTGAGCACTTTAGACGCATTATTCATTTAATTCTCAGAATGACGATGTGTGCTTATTAAACAGAGACCATACAGATAAAGCTTGAATTCAAACCTAGGTCTGGCTCCAAAGTCGTCCTTGATCTTCCTACCATGCTATATTAAAACTCAATGACAGAGGATAAGAAATAACATTTTGAGTACTTGCTATGTGTCATCTTAAAAATCAAAAGTCTGAAAGAGCTAAATTGCACTCTGAGTCATGAAAGTGGGATTCAAAGCCAGCACGTAGTAAAGGCACGTTTTTCACACAACTAATAAATGCAACATTGCTTTGCAAACTTAAAAATGCCTTTGAGTAATGGTGAGCTTGACTTCAGTTATGGGTAGGATAAGAGGACGTGGTCTCTGCTACAGGTGGAGATACTCAGGAAGTAGAGGAACTGTTTAGGTTTTCTGAAACCCCAAAGAAACTGGAACTCCTCTGTTCTTCAAAGATTTACTTCACTTTTTTGAGTTGTAACATCCTAGACCACTCCACACCTCGTGAGAGAAGTCTTACGGGCTTAGTCTTCCAATCAGGTTTGGAGAAGGCCTGGGTGAGGTGAGGGGGAATGGTGGAAGTCTGGAACAGAGATGCACCCACACAACTGAGGATCCCAGGAACCCCCGTGCTCAGCAGGAGAGACTTCCACTGACAGTAGATATAGTAACACCTTCTCTCTGAAATAAATATCCTAACATCTAGAATCTCTAACAAAAACCCCTGATTCTCTAGTGTTGCTGCAAAAGGAAGGTTTCAGGGATGTGACCCTCATGCATTAAATGTGTCTGATACATAAGAAAAATATATCAGTACGTGAGTCCTCTTTTAGAGACGACTGTTTAGAAATCATTTACTACCCATATTAACTTACCTTTTGAATTTGACCTGCCCCTTAAGATACTGGAATAAAATGAGATACTGCAACAAGATGTGTCGACGAAAGTTACTGTCACTCAGTTGTAAATCCATCAACTAGTTGAAAAACAAGCACACACACACAAACACAAAACACATTAAATTCAAGTTTTGCCTAAAGGTACAGGTTATGCTAGTACAGAAAGGAAAGATTTTAATTAAAAAAAACACAACAACATTCACAGAGGGCTCACTGAGTATGAGGCATTATACTGCACAGGCCCTAGCACACTGGAGCACAGGCTTCAGATTTTTTAACCATTTTATCCCATGAGAAATTTAAATGGTGGTAGACAGCACTATTACATCTGTGGTCCTGAAGTCAAGACAAACCAAAGCAGAAATATACATAGGTAAAAGTATGGCTGCCACTTGCTCACATAGAAAGAAACAATGGCCAGAGAGCGGTCCATATACAGGTAACAACAAGGATGCTGCTCATTTCTGTAGCCCTACGAAATGCCTGCAACAGAGCTGGTGCTCGGTAATAAATAAGGAATTACAAGTGAAAAATCATCTGTGAGTTAAGTGGACCATTTCCTTATATTTTAGAGAAAACTATCATATTTGTATTATCACAGAATCTGCATTAGAAAGGACATGAAGGTCCCGTATGAGGAAGTTCTTCAACAACTGTGCCCCGAGGTGATCAGTAAGAATGGCCTCCAGCGTGAAGGCTGATTATGTCCCCAGAGCACTGCGGAACACTGAAGTCCATATCCACAAACACGTGCTGCTTCGGCCTTCCAGAGCTAAAGCAACAATGGCAAGCTGCCTGATTTTAAATGGATGAGCAACCCGTACGACGCCCGAAAACCCTAGGAATGGAATCCAGTTGAAGGTCCCAAGTTCCTTTGGCTATGTTTCCATTACCCAACATTCACTAGCCACTTCTTCCTTTTTAAACGTCGTTGGCCTTCCAGTCTGCTGTGCCTCCCCTTTAGGGACTGACTCTGATTCTGTTATTTACCAGATGAACTACCCCACCCCAAAATGAATGGCACAACTCCCCGACTTCCTTTCCTGCAGCTCCTGGGTGACTTCATCATCTCCACCCAGGCTCTCAAGGTCCTTGACAGTTCCACGGGTAGGCACAGCCTCTACTGGGGCCCCACTGCCATGGCCGAAAGCTCGAGCACAGCTGCCCCAGCTCGGAAACCTTCAACTCACAATCCTCTCACTATAGCCTCCTATTCTTCCAGTCTCTCACTCAGCTGTCCCAAGACCTGACTGAGACCTTCAGTCCCTTGAATCCTCTATTTCTACCTGTCAGTTCCATTCTGTTTTTACTGTAACCCTATTTTGGTTGAGATAAGGGGTCAGCAAACTTTTCTTAGACAGTAAATATTTTAGGCTATGTGAGCCAAGGGGCATATTATAAGATATTACACAAGTACTTTTGTAAACATTAAAATGAAAGAAAAAAAAAAAACAACAAAACAAGCAGTGGGCCAGATTTGGCCTGTGGCTGCAGTAGGCTGACCCCTAGTCCTGACTTTTTGGTTTATCTCTTTAACCACTTTGTCGCCAACTTCCTCAACACCTTTGTGCCACACTTCTGTCACATCTACGGTGCAAACTGACAACCCCAGATCAAACTAAGTTACTTACCTTCTATCAACACTAAGGCTTCCCATGCAGGCTGCAGGTGGAACTGCTTGAAAGAAAATACACACCATACAGCTCTGCAGATGGGAGCACCTCTATGCTGCTGCCTCCAACTTCAAACTCTGGTCTCTACTCAGCGATCTTTCTTTATTCTCCAAGTCTGTTATTCTCTGCTCTTCTCCACAGCAATTACTGCAAACCCTTTTCGACTTATCACAAACATTACTTAACCACCCTCTCACTCTCAGTCCATAACTACTGACACCTTCAATGAGAAAAAATTCATTAAACTGGAAGTTTTAGCTTCACGCACATCCTTGCTTCCTCTGTCTTGACATCTTCATTACTAAAGGTAACCCTTCCATCTGGACATCCCAATCTCCCTAAGTTAACTGAGTCCCATCAGTTAACTGTCCTGGTGCCTGTTATCTTCCACCCTTTCTTCTTTCCAAGCTCTCTTCCATTAGCATTAAGTAACTTCCCTCAAAGAGATCCTCAGCCTCCCCTCATCCTCCCTGAACAGCCAAAATTCTTCAAAGAACTGGCTATATTCACGGTTTCCAATTCACCCCTCAACCCGCTAAAATCTGTGGCTTCCTGGTTCACCAATTCACTGACAGTGTTTTTGCCAAGATCACTAATGACTTACTTGTTAGATTCAGTTGAACAACCCTCCCTCGCCCACCCAACCCGGCCCCACGAACACTTTTTTTTTTCCCCACAAATCCTCATCCTTCTTGATATGCTTGGATTCCATTGAGGTCATACTTTTCTAGTTTTTCTCCAATCTCACTGGCTACTCTTCAATCTTCTTCCTCTTCCCTAACTACCCCTTAAATTTAATTGGTTTTCTTGAGGATTCAGTCTGAGGTTTTCTTTCCTTTCCTTTCCTGTCTATATTTTTCCTTGAACTACCACATTTAAGCTGGTAACTATACTATATACCAAATCTATACTCTCAATCTAGATTGTGTTCCTAATCTCCACATCTGTATACTTAAAGAAGTTACTACATATCTCTATTTGAATGTTCAACTGACACTGGGTCAGATTTCATGTTCAAGGGAAAACACACCAGTTTTCCCCACAAAGCCTGCTCTTCTCCACTGTTGGCTAGTTCAGTAAGAGGCTCCACCACCCATTTGCCTAGGCAACTCTAGGAAGACTGCCTGGAGAAAGCACAACTATATACCACAGGAGTAAATCTCTAGTTGGAGTATGCAAGGAGAAAGAAACAGGAGATACCAAGACTCTAAGCCCAGTAAGAAACTGGCCTGTCTGAAGACTGTAAGTAGTTCAACCAGTTGGGAGTGAGGACAAACAAGCCTCCTGGCTTGAAGAAATGAACTGAAGTGGGTAGGCGCTGTAAGAACTCTTCATTTATCTCAGGCTTTAAGTCTCCCCACATTTATTTATGTTGGAATATATTTTTTGAGGGGAACAATGGACTGAAAATAGGAGTCAACAAGACTGAATCAGAGGTGGGAAGGGACCAGTGTGATCATTCAAGCTAACTGCTTCACATTATGCTTATGAAAACCAGGACCTCTGCAAGATCACAAGGCTAGTTTGTGACACAGCTGGGACTAAAACTGACACACTCAACTGTACTCTTTCTTCCATAACATGTATTTTCTAAGTTCGACTTTTCTTTGGTTATTTAAAAAAGGACACCATTTATGTCATGCAATGGGTCAAATATTTCTTTGTTGTCTTTGTTTCCTGAACAAAGGGCCTTTTATCGTCCTTAGCTTTTACTGCACGTCTCAGCTCAGGCCTCAGCATACCTGATTATTATTCTAAACCTAAAAAGGATCATGCTATTCTTCTTAGTTATTTTTATGTGCCTTTCTGTCAATAAACTGTACATGTAAATAATATTCCTGGTAAAATTAAACTGAAGTATGAAATCTTCCATTTCTGTCACTTTACTGAAAGTACTTTAAAAATCTGTACTAGAAAAAATATTAAGAGCATTCTCATTAAAATATTACTGACTTGTCATTATTAACACATTAGTTGTATCAAATTATGAAAAATGTTAAATTTCAAAAAGGTACAGTTAAGTAATATAACATTCATGTCCCCCTATCCAGTTATATATCAAATCCTAACATTTTTACTTGTTCCACATTTGTCAAACAAATAGTTATTACTGAAACTGGTGAAGCCTCCTCTGTAACCTCCCTCTCCTGCTCCCCCTCCTTCCCTCTACTATGGTAAATGCTACCATGTATATGGTGTTCATGATTCTCATGCATATTTTATACTATTACTATATAACATACTGAGGTATTTTGCATGTTGTCAAACTCTAATTACATATTACTCTGCAATAAGCTATTTTCACATGACATTATGTTTGAAATTTATACAACTTAATGCATGTAGCCCTAGTGCAGGGGTTGGCAAATTTCTGCGAAGGACCAGTTAGTAAATTCTTTTAGGCTCTGTGGATCATATGGTCTCCGTCACAACTACTACTTTCTGCTGTGGCCGCGCAGAAGCAGCTGCGGACAACACCTGGATGAACATACAGCAGCGGTGGGCTCCACTAAAACTCATTTATAAAAACAGGCGGGAAGCCAGATTTGCCGACCCCTGCTCCAGTGAACCCACTTTCAGTGCTTTGTAGAACTCTACTGCGTACATTTACTGTGATTTACCACTCAGTCTCCTGTTTGTGAACTTTCAGGTTGTTTCCAAACTTCCACTTACAAATACGTAATTTACAAATAATGAATCTTCTTATGTATTTCCTTGTGCATGTGTGTGATTCTCTAGAGGCCACATCTAAGAACAAAAGTTTTAATTTTGCTAATTATAAAATTGCTCTGCAAGTGGTTGTATCAATTTATACTTCAACCAGCAGTGTATGAAAGTGTCCTTTTGGGCGCCTGGGTGGCTCAGTTGGTTAAGCGGCTGCCTTCGGCTCAGGTCATGATCCTGGAGTCCCGGGATCGAGTCCCACGTCCGGCTCCCTGATCAGCAGGGAGTCTGCTTCTCTCTCTGACCCTCCCCCCTCTCATGCTCTCTATCTCATTCTCTCTCTCAAATAAATAAATAAATAAAATCTTTAAAAGAAAGAAAGTGTCCTTTCCCACAACTTTGCCAATACCATTTATTGTCAGGCTTTTTTGGTTTTTGTCAATTTGGTAAGTATGAAACGAATATCTCATCATTTCAAATTTTTTGGCTACTAGAGATGGTTTGCATCTTTTATAAGCTTTTCAGCTATTGAGGTTTCTCTAGCTGTAAGCCACCTGCACATACCATCTTTCCAGTTTTCCACTGGCTTGTCGTTTTATCAATAGAATGTTTAGAATATATTAATAATACAGGTGATAAATATCTTCTAGTTTGTGGCTGTCTTTTCACGTTGTCTGTGGTATCTTTTACTATTTCATACTTTTACATTTTTATATTAAATGTATTGGTTTTTCCCCTCA